TATATTCGTATTAATAACTAGGACAGGTAGTTACAAATATTACAGTGAATACTGAATGCCATTACCGGGTTATTGGTGCTACAGCCTACAGGGTTTGTGAAATATTAATGTATAGCCTCTGAAAAATGTCAAGTTCGCCGCCCCAGTACCTATAACTATGTGCGTAATAAAACCAGGTGGGCGACGACAGTGCCGAATCGTTATGCGCAAGTATATTGTATATTTTGCCGAAAGCGAACGATTTATTAATATCATAACGGTTCCTAGTAGACCATCTTGGGAATATCAACTAAGCGAATGGATAATAAAAAAGTCCCGTGAATTTAAAAGTTTTTCTCAAGTTGCTTAAATCGTAAACACATGGTATATATATAATATATTAAATATGTATGTAAGTAATTTACATAATATACTTATTGCATGCAGAATGTCAACCTGCACCCTTTTGTTTTTTCAATTAAATGTAAGTATAAAATTATTAACAGTTAACCACGATATAATACTTTACTTACCAGTTTACCACACAAATCAACTCGTCCATAAAAAAATCTTCGAACATTTGACATAATAATATTATCTAAAAATAATAATATCAGAAAACACGTTGTATTGAAAATATTTTAGTTATATTATTACTTATTACGTTATTAGTGTATCCCAGCGATTCCCAACCTCAGGTCGCGACCCAAATTAGGGTCGCGGAGGTAAACATGGCAGTTTTGTATATGAATTATCTATGTTCTTTTTTTGTAATTTATGTTTTTAGCCATTTGGCGTTGAGCGTTTAAATAACAAAGCATTTAAAAAATACATGTTGATTAGAGACAATTAATGATTACCATTTATGAAAATTAAAATAATTATTTGTTATAAAAAGGGGCTAACATACGCAACCAGTTATAAATAGTATGGTTGACCATCGACCCATGATTCCAATACATGAAAAGTGTCTAGGTACCGAAATGAATCTCTATAATCAGTATTAAAGTTAAATTAAACTTCTTGAGATTTAAGCACTAGCCAGCATTTATTTTATATGTCATAGTGACTATCACGCAACTAAAATTTACATTTGAAAGGTAACTTCATGATGTGAATTTGTAAGAAAGTGCATTTTTTTGGTGATTGTGAAACTTCGTACTTTGTAAGTACATAAAATGTAATGTACTAATGTATAATATCCTATATAATATCATATATATAAAAATTAAATTAAAAACTATTTTAAGTAAATTTTATACTATAATTTTTGGCGTTTTATATTGCATTTTTTGCATTTTAAGTGCATATTTTATTGCATTTTTTAGACATTATAAATGCGTTTTTTAAGATTTTATAATACATTGAATTCACAACCCTGCTGATTAACTGTGGAGATTTATTTCGGTAGACACTTTTCTAGATTCGTTGGGCAACCATACTATTTTAATCGTAGTATTGGTTTAATTAAAATGTAGTATATAATATTGGTACAAATAATATTTGCAACTTTTGTATAGCATTAATTCGTAGATATTGAACTTATGTGCATTCATAACTGTGAGCACTAGATTAGTACTTTAATCTACCTACAAATAAATAATAGATTGTATTCTTTTATTCTAAAATTCTATTATATAATACATTTTACATTCGACTTTAAAGAGGGAGCCAGAGTGTGAATCTATTCATATATTAAAGGATGTTCAATCAAATTTTAAATAAAAAACTATGAATAAAAAAATCATAAGAAACAAATACTATGCAAAAGTGTATACAAATGTACACATATTGGTTTCAAAGTAAAGCATAAGCTTCCCCCCTCCCCACACAAACCTTTTTTTTAGTACAAAATGTCATAATTGGCCTAAAAAAGTAGCCCGGTACCCTGGTATAATGGAGATTTCTAGTACCGTTCCTACTATGATTATACAATATTATATATCACTCATCCAACCCCCAATAACAATAATGATACTTAAACCGAATACGTTACTAGGTATACATAGACACATAGTAATAGTAACAACACATAACTCGATAAATCGTACACATGTCATGATAGTCCGCAGTGTTATTTATCGTTGATATGGTAACAAAAATCGGAAATTGTATAAAATTGACAATTGTGAATTTTTCCTAATAACGTAATGTATACATGTTATGATTTATGATTTTGTCTGTAATTTTTCATTGTGTTTTTCTATTTATTTACACACAATACATTATTGCTTATGGACATTCGGTATCACGAAGAAACCAAGAATTATTGAATTGATGATTGCTAAAATATATATTTTACGGGCAAAGTAGGAAATCGGACATTGTTACTGTGCACAATTCCCGAATATTTCCCCAACATTTTTCCACCTTCATTAATGACCAATTTTAAAATTTAGAAAGACGCAGGTTATGTACATCCTATACGTGGTTAAATTTCTTTGAAAAAAAGGCTTCTATTATTCGTAAATTGTGTGCAAATGGGTTGTAAAAAAAGATAAACGTGCGAAAACGAGCTGTAGCCAAATAATTTGAACAGCCGTCACCTGTTACCTCACTAATTATCAAAAAACCCGTAGGTCAAAACCACACAAATTGTATATTACCACGCCGATTGATCCAAGTATACGCACAAAATGTATAGAATTTTTTTAAATTATATAAAATTGTCACTGTAGACTATCAGTCCAGGTGGATAGGTACTATTGATTATTTACACGATTGTGAATAACCATGTTTGACTTACCTATCCACGAACTGCTAAAATATAGGTGATATTATAACAGTTAAACGTCTACCTACTGGAAACGTCTATATACGTTTATTTTATAGAAATAAAACTTTTTAATTATTTGCTAATATAGTAATGAAACACTTATATTTGTTTATTTGAGAACAAAAACGTATTTGGAAAAAGTGAATGCCGCTCTGCTGTACAGTAGGTTACAAGTGGTTTGCACTGTATAATGGATGGTATTAAATTTGAATTCAATGATATAATATCATTGTATACGAACAACGATTCTGGCCACCAACTAGGTTTACTTTCCCATCGAACAAGATCCTAAAGTAGAAAATCGAAGCATTATTTCGATTACTTATCCTGTAAACAGACACAAATGAAAAAATTAAATTAAATTAAAAAAAACACACATCATTATAAAATCAATACATTCATCGCTCCGCTCAGTATCTAAAAAATGGAGAGTAAAGATCACGACAAATGTTGATAAAACCCGTATTATTTGGTTAGGTTAAGTTATAAAATTAAATTATATTGATAAATAAATAAAAATAATAATTACTATCACAAACACGAAAACGATCATTATTATAATGATTATAGTTTATAACTATAATTTATTTAATGGAAAAAATACACTACCTATTCATTATAATTGTTTTCAAAAAATTTTAGGTACGACTATTAACTTGAAATATTAAAAAAAAAAAAAAATCGTTTAATAAAAATAATCTTTATTAATGTATATATAGAATTAAATTTAAATATCGTGCGGTAATCGACGACGAGAGATTTTATGAATTCGTGCGCCGTGCGGTGCCGTATTGAGATATGCATTTTGTGCGATATATTGGTTCGTATTTGTGGCTTGTGCCTTGTGCGGTATAATGGAAAGCGCCGTTTTAAATAATATACCTTTACCCGTATATTAAGGAACATTAGGAATATTCAATATACGCCATTCGCATATTATTGTGAATGAGCAGAGTGCAGCTAACTCGCGTTTAATATTTTTACTGGCAACAAAACATTTGGGTACCTACTTATCTATGTAACAAGTTGTAGGTAGGTACAAAATTGAATAGGTACCTACTCGAATATACTATAATGTTTTTAAATTATCATTGTATAGTGCAATAACAATATTATTGCATTTTAATTAAACCATACGACATAAAATTATTAAAAATGCAAAAATAATTAATTATTCGGGGCTAAACACTGTCCGAAATAACGGTACAATTCGTGGCATGTCACATATTATACCACCTTTAATATGTTACCAGTATTAAAATAAGGAAATTATACCTCTGGGTACAATACGTATACTAGAGGTACAATTAGCATATAATGGTCTTGCCCCTCTATCCGGTAATTTTATCCGTTTGAGAATATCTGACTGGCGTTATCTGACTGGCATGGAATAATTTAAATCAAAGTTCATAACATGCATAATGTTATACTTACATATAAGTATCTAACTTTATCTAAAATACTTCAAAAATATCCATAATTGAATAATTATTATAACCAGAGTTAAATTTACCAATTAAAGTATATTATAACATTATTACTAGGTATTGTATTTTTAGTTTTTACCTAATTCGCATTATGTCTCATTTTTGGATTTCCGTTAGACTTATAAGATATATACGTTTTTGTCGTACAACCATTTGTTATGTTTATTATTGTGCACATTTTAACAGATAGGCACACGATCCATAAATAACATTATATAGAAGTATAATAATATTACACAAATAACAAAGATTGAAATAAAAAAAATCGGTACAATTTACGGCTATAGATAACTAGAAATTTAAATATAAATTGTTATAATTCAATACTATTTTCATTTACTAAACATTTAGTATTTTTTGGAAGACGTGAAATAAGTTATTTTACATTTTATAAATGCACAGTGCACACCCACTAAAGATAAACTAAAATAAGTAATGTACAATTTTTGTTTATAAGTAACCATTTGATCGAATAGCCGAGGGATAGTCGGCTAGGGACTATTGAAAATTTAAAACCAAAATATTTACCAAGTGCGATACTCGCAGTAATTGCGTTCAATATCGATGACACAATTGGCGCACGCCAAAAATATATAAAACACGCCTACAAAATTGTCTCGTTCGCGAATTCATTCGAACGATAAGAAAATAATCCAAGGCTCGTGTGGTGTTGTTATTTTGTATTTTTGTACACTATTTACTGACCGAAATACTAAAATTGCTATTCCCTTTCTCGTTTTCAGATACTTCAACTGCAGATGAACGACTTCCGCTATCATTTTCTCTTCACTACATTCGTGAGTGTATAAAATAAAAAATATTACCAATTGCGAAACACGGCCACTTGGATCGTTGTCACATTCAACTGAGACGACCCCCAATCTAATGTGGCCCGATTTCCGTTTCATTTCAGGATCTCGAGACGTTTGATCTGGAAGACTTTAAATACAACTCCGTGAACATAACCTCTTTCAGAATAGTTGACGACCAAAACCACCGCGTGGTCAACATCCTCCGAGAGATGGAAAGATTTCAAAGAGTTGGGCAAAACATGTTGCACAAGAGTGGAATCATCAGGGTGATTATTAATGAAATTACAATTATTGTTTACTACTCAATCATTGACGATGGAACTGCCCAGAAAGTTTTTTATTATTAGCATTCAAGAAAAAATTCTAGGTTATGATTTATTGAATATTTTGATGGCTATTAAACAATAAACACTATTGTTATCTAGGTCACATTTTGTAATTTTTTCAAAAAAAAATGTATTTACATATTATAGCAGTAGTACGATTGTACGAATCACAACATATCGTAACAAAATGTATGATAATCTATTATAATAGCGGTGATTTGAGATTTATACAACAGAGTAGATTCTCCATAAATGTCACGATATACTGTTGACACTTCATTAGTTCACTCCAATTGTATAGACTGTTTTTGTTAAAAACCATTTCTTTTGTTTTCATGTTAAATACTTAAAAACAATAGAAAATTAAGCAACTACTTATAAAATATAATATGATCTATTCATAGGCCACAGCAAGGAATAGTTGTATACCATAACAAATTACAATACGTCAATACAGCTGTAAAATGCTAATGTTAATCGTAAACTTGTATGGTAGTATCTAAGTCGTTAATATACAGGTGATCCCAAGCATGCTCACCTCCTTTTTTGTATTTAATAATGAATTTGTTCAAATTCAAATTTTTGGAATTTTTAAATATACTTAAGAGGAAGTGATATCCGCGTGTGTTGTCTCCGTCTTACAAGTGCGCAACATAACAAATTTATGCTCAGCAGAACACGTGTAGCAGGTAGCCCTGTTGGTTAAAAAATTAGAGTGAAATGACATCTTCTAAAATTTAAAGGTAAGATTATTATCTAGGCAACCAATCACATAGATTTTTTATTATATTTTAATATTAAAGCGAGTTATGAGTATTTTAAAATTGTAAATTGTTTGTACATCTTAAAATTCTCATAACTCACTTTAAAATTAAAATATAATAAAAAAACCTATGTTATTGCCTTGATTATAATCTTACCTATACATTTTATTAAAGGTCAATTTGATCTATTTTTTAAACCAACATAGCTACAAGTGTTCTGCTGAGCGTACAATTTTCTATGTTACGCACTTGTAAGACGTAGATAACACATGCGGTATCACGTAATCATAAAGACCGTGTTTTCAATTTCTTGAGATTTCTTAAACTATTTGAGAAAGTCGTGATATAAACTTTTGTTTTTCAAATGAGAACCTTCCTTTTTCACTGTAAAATAATTAGAGGATTTTTTGCTGAAAATGTTGATGTATCAAAAGCAAAATTCAAACAAGTAGTTTTTTACTTATTAAAATGTTTATATGAAAAACAATAGTCCTTTAACTGGCTATAATATATAAAATGGTTAATAATATAAAATATAATATCTAATATCTCATTTAGTATTTATTATACTTTTAATATTTTTATAATTCGTAAATGTTGATGAATAAATTAATTAATATGAATTACTTAACATTTTGAAATTACCAAAACCCATTATCATGGCCATAGTACACATAATGACATAACTTAAAATCGACTCATTCGAATTTTGATTTTGATACGTCAACATTTTTAGGAAAATTATCCACTAAATAATTTACAGTAGGTATAAAGGGGAAGTTCCCATTTGAAAAACAGATATTTGTATCACCATGGAGCATATGACACTCTTTTAGTAGAACAAAAAGTCTTGAAGAATTTTAAAATCATAATATGATATTATGACTTATTTTATATTTAAATTCATTATTAACGGTGAAAATGTGAATGAGTATGGATGATGCTTGGTGAATCACTCTGTATATTATGTTATTACGAACAATTCAATCTTGTATTTGAAATGCGACAACTCTAGTCCCCAAGTCATTATAATATAGGTAACGACACAGTGGAAATAGTATTTATGTCCGTTTTCAATACCAATATTTACATAAAATGTGCAATCAATCGGTTGTGTTGTGTTGTGAGCAGGCTGAACCTGCATTGATGTTCGACGCGGTCAACGTGTTCGCCCACAGCATCGGATCGCTGGACGGGTCGTCGAATTTAATACAGTCGTCAAACGTTTCGTGCAAGACGTCGGACCGTTGGGCGAACGGTACGTTTGTGTACGACCGACTCAACTCGGTTAGTATTCGATTATGACGTACCATGGGTATAGTAAACGGTATAATTACGTGATGGTTTTTTGATGTTTTTTTGTTTATAAATCATTATTGTTCATATTTTATTTTATTCGTTTCGCCACGACACAGGTGAGCATCGAAGGCCTGACCGGCAAAGTTCACTTTGACGAAGGTAGGAGATCGGACATCAAGCTAGACTTGCTGAAACTACATGAGGAACAAGTGAAAAAAGTCGGCTTTTGGACACCATCAACCGGCATCAACATCACGAAACATTCCGTATTTTACGGACACCAGAGCTCCAACGTGACGCTGATCGTGGTTACCAGAGTCGTAAGTTAATCTTATGAAAACAAAAACAATCATAATGTTATATATATATATATATATGTAAAATTATATTATACACTTTAACGAAGAACTTTAAACGCACCGTCGTCTGGACGTTTCACATAGTACCTACCTATACTTTATGAAAAACGCACTAACTTTATTATATAGGTACCAATACAGTATAATTTATATTTTCTTGAACTCTACATAATTATAGTGATCGGGTCAAAAACAACAATAAATCCATCATTCCAATGAAACGTCTGCCCAAATTACACGTGAGGAAAAATAAAACTTACATTTTTCCTATGCGTATTAAATTAAATCTCGTTCGCGCATTGACAACGACTACGCTGTCGCAAATACGTTTTATACTTTTATGGGGAAATCGTCCTTTGCTGCAGAACGACTACTGCAAATGACTCGGTGTTTGAATTACATAGACTTATGTAGAAGTTTTATTTTTCGTTCAATCGCTATGATCGAATCTATATACTATACAGACATATATAATTCGATTAACGCACGATGAAACAAGTTTTTGTTCTTTGTACACGATGGTCGATGACGTATAATACACGTGCTCAGTACTTACTCTACTGATCGGCGAGCAAAGGAGACAAAAAACTATATTATGCTACATCAGGTTTTGGTGGAATAGCTGTGTGGTTGTTAAAGTTCATACGAAAAAGAAATACACACAAGTATATAATATTATGATATAATATATAAGCGCGCCCTGTCAATTTTCGATTTATCCACACTAGAAGGATTTTAACATTTTTTTTAACAAAAGAAAAAAATATATATTATATGTGGCGACTAAAAGCTCTATTTTTATACACCGAAAAAGTTATTGATTTTACAATTGTTATGCGACTGTATATTATTTTCTCTTTTTTTAAATGCGTTACTGCGGTTCTTTCATTTCGTATAATCACAAAACTGAGAGTATAAAATATATTCTAACTACCTACGTAAATACCCACGGATATTCGTAAAAACCGTCCTTCACATATTTTGAAATACGTGACTATGAATGCACTGGTCCCTTTACGAACCTATGATGGATGAATCGTTGAAAAAATAAGGAGACATGGAGAAGGTAGAGTGGTAGACTAAGCATGCTAAAAATTACTATCAGGCAATTAAAAGACTATATGAGCAAAAACCTTCTCAACTTTCCTATAACAAATATTTATAAAAAGCATCCTGCAAAAATATAAATGTATAATATTATAATATTTAATAGGATTACATATTACTATATTATATTGTTAGAGAACGGAAAATATAATCTCATGTAATCCCACTACGAACAATTTAGATATATTCAGAGCACGCATTCGACGTGCCTTTTTTTCGTGTCGGCGTTTATACTAGTATTGGGAAAATTGTTCGGGTATCTTGTAAGATGTATAATATGAGTCTTTGTGCAATTCAAAAATAAAATTATGATCACACAGCCTCCTGCATAGGCTATTTAACCATACCCTTGACGTGGTTCTATTGTTCCGGTACCTCTATGATATCCAGGTATATCATAGATATTCTATTACACATTTCAATGCCTAAAATTGTGTTTTTCGCAGTGTAATAATTATGAATGATATTCTCACATGTACTTCTGAACTGGGCCCAAATAGTTTTATATTTGTTTAACGTATTTCAATAATACAATAATTGTACCTAATTATAATTATTATAATAAATTATGAGTTTATGGGCCGGGTGCCGATTTTCCAAATTCTCCATATTTCTATACAATTTAAAAATTATATTTTACATTTTAGTTGCCGCCCTAATTATAATATTTTTCTACTAATCTACTACCAATTTTGGATGGGGGTTTATTACGGTGTATTATATTAACAATAATGACTTCACAGGAAAAACTATTAGGCCTCATAGAATTTTCGGATTTGATAATTGATTTTTTAATCCAAAATAAGAAGACTTCCTACAACCCACATTGAACTCCAATGTTTTATTTTATTTCAAATAATGATATAAAATAAATTTGTAAAAAAAGCTTAAAATTTTCTTTTTTTATAAACCTATTATAAAGTTTGAGATTAAAATATTAGAACCAAGTTCAATACGGGCTGTAGAAAATTTCCCTCAAAAAAAAAAATCAAATTTGGTCCAATCAACAAAACAGGATCGTTATTCACGTAAAGAGTATTTTTGAGGATAGAATTACATTAACACCGGGTGCCATAATATTATTATATAAAAAAAACAACATAAATGCACGTACATAATCATAGCTGTATCAATTCCCCGAGGTAGAATCGAACTTTTACTCAACCAATTTTTACCTGTGATTGTGTCCAAATGACTAATTAGTAACCATTACCGTTTAATATACTCATACCACCCGGCCTTACCTAACCTTGACACATAAGGTTTAACATAAAAAAGTGTATTATACACCCGAACTCGGGTTATATAAGTTATGTCCCGAGGGAGATCTGAATTCGTAATGGGTAGGTACTAAATATTTAAATAATTTAGAGGAATAATCTTCGACTTGAATAGTTGGATCAGACTTTTTCTAGAAGTGAGGGCACAAATAAATAACACATTATTTATTAGACATTTTGCCAGGCCGTATAAACAATTGATTAATTTAACGATATTCGCTTAAATCGAATTAGGACCATTAACTCATTAATGATTAGTTAAATGTTTATCGATTGTTATTTCAAAATAAATAAGTAATTTGTTTGCGAGACCCGGCAATCGGATTATACGAATTGACGTACAATTATTAAAAAAACCTGCCAAATCAGTGTTAGGTGTATAATAGGTACTAGTAGTGTACTACTGTACTACAAAGTAAATTGCGAGTCGAGTGTATTTTAGCTTTCTGGTTCCGACGATTTTTATTTTCAAAGAGACGCAGAAGGTCGTCGATGAGTTAAAACAACAACTAGGTACCAAGTAAATTATCAAAAATAATTAGAGTTCCTATTTGAAAACGGTTTTCATCATAAACTATTTCATATTATTAGAAACTTTTCAATTTAGCCCGTCAAGACACGCGGCTATAATATGCAAGTGGCGCGAAACTCAGAGGAATATTACGCGTATTAATGCTGACAAAATATTATAACTCTTTCGTCGCGCCTGCGTAATAGAAATATAATTATTTTAAACGAGTCGGGGTATGACTACATCAAAGATAATCCTCGAGTTCGCCCGGAGAAATAATACCGACGACGACGACGCCTTCAAAAGGTCTTACGATTTTATAATAATAATATTATATTAGGAATACACACCTATCGTACATAATACGTATATTTCGTATATTGTATATAAATAAGAATATAATATAACCATGTAAAATATCTCCAAAATAATAACGCCGCCGCCGATAATTTAATACGTTCGCGTTGGCGGTTGAATGAGCGTGTCTCACGCTCAGTAAAATTATATGTAGGAATGTTATGGTAAATGCGGTATATTGTATATTATAGAAAAAAATAACAGACGAAAATATCATAAATAATCAACCGAGTATAGCTGTAGCTAGTATTATAGTGTAGCTGTATGATAATAATAATAATAATAAGAAGAAGAAGAAGAAGAACAGTAATAAAATATGTAGGTAGGTATTTTAGAAGTTCGCGAATGAACGAGAAAAATAATAATAATTTACCGTGCCGTTATCAAAACGTACTTATATCATAGTCGTGCGTGTTGTACATCGTATTTTTGTGAGTGTGTTAGGTTCACCGTTACGCAATAATATATGAACTGGACTTCGACGGAATTCGGTTAAAGAAGCCGCAACAAATCAAAGCGCTGACAAAATCAGAGTCAGTCGTCGTCGTAAATCCTAACACACACACACGTGTGCGATAATCGATAAGTGCGTATTAACCCCCTATAGTATAGAGCCTATAGTACACAATAATATAAAGTCAGCTGAGACCTAATTCTGAAGGTCACACTCTACTCAACCCTGTACAGTAGTAAGTTTCAAATGTACCTACCTCGGGTTTGAGGTGGTCAATTTTACGCATTATATTAGCATTAAATTTTTATTCAACGATTAACAGTTATGAGCTGGGGCAAGCAGCCTCCTCTATATTTTCTAATGATATTTTATAGTAATTTATAGTATGCCCACTAATTATTAGTAATATTTATTTATCTATTAATAAGAAAATGGTAGGTTAAACTAATGTTATAATAATTACTATTTCGCCCGTGATTGGTTGTTTATTTAGCCTCCGGACGATGAGATGTATAATTTTTTGAATTTTTTTTATCGTTTAATGTGATCGGCAAGTAAATATAAAAATGGTTAATGAAAACGTATTGAAATGTTTCTTGCGCTATTAATGATAAATATATTTTTATTAAAAATAGTTTACCCCGTGCACTTCGTTGCCCGTTAAATGTACCAACTCTATATGACTCAAACTTTGTTCAATTTGTTATTTAATTTTTCGGTGTATGATGTTCAAAACTTATCTAAAAATAAAAATTCTGATTCGCAGCAGTATATTATCACTTATCAGGTAGGCAATCTCGCTGTGGTAGATCGCGGACCCCGTGCTGTTAGTACGTAAGTGTATGATTTAGCTCTCGAGTATCAAAGTTATACTAAGTTTGTCGTTTTTACTTAATTTCACCTACAGTGGATTAATATAATCAATTAATACAAAATCCTAACCTTACCAAAATCCGATGAAAAAGAAAACCAAATTTGTCCTTTTTAAATTAATCTATCTTCTTCCCATAGGTCTAATTTACACACAAACTTTTATTTATACATACCTATATACATATATTAACGAAAAATAATAATACAAATCAACAAACATGCCCGGTTAACCAATAGCAACCAATATATAATACACTATTATTATTTTAATCTGCAACAATTAACTAATTTTTTTATTATTTAGTTTATTTTTTTCTGGGCAGATCACGCCACTCTTGTATTTTTTACATCCCTATTTCCTACTTTTCTGGTGAATTTTCCTACAATTTTCTTTCATAAGAACCTTGTCCTGATAATTACGAACACAACAAAAAAAGAATCAGCCAAATCGGTTCAGTAGTTTTCTCGGCTAGCGCGGTCGAAGAAAACCCTACCAATTTTATATAATATTTTCGTAAGCTTAAATAAGACGTCATTACCGTCGACGTACCTTAGGACGGCGTAAATATGTTCTTGGTATAATATTATAATTTATAATAATATCTTAAAATCAATCCAGATATTTTGAAAATTTAATTGTATAGACTATAGAGAGAATGATAACATATGCGATGGAGGAAAATTGAAAGTCTACAATTTATATATTTATAATATCAACTAAATAACGCACAACGTTTGATGAAAAATCATTACTTTTCATTTTAATGACCAACTTGGACAAAATTTGAACTCTTTAAACGCACTTTAAAACATTCTACTCGGCTTGTTTACTTTTGGTATTATTAATTTTAGACAGAAACATTTATGAGGAAATCAGAGGAACCTTGTTTTAAATTTTAAAGTATTTTGAAAGACTAACAAGAAACAAAAAATATGTGACCATGAATAAAAAAAATAACTATAAAAGTTGACATTTTCCAATGCTATTCTAATAATAGCACAAAAACAGAAAACAAATTTTGATAATTATAGCATGTATAACAAATTGTGCCTATAATAAATATTTTATGAAAATATTAAATCTTTATTTTTTTGAATTACAAGTAATTTACTTATATCGTTAGAAGTAAAATCGTTATTTTTCATTTAAATAGGTAACCAATTATGTCCATTTTTGAACTTAGATGCTTACAAAAAAAAAAATTGAATAATACATTTTTTTTAATTACTCTAAGAATAACTTGTGACATGAAAAACTTCTTTGTATTATATTTTCAAGCCTTTTCAAGCCTTACGTATTACAATTTTTAAAAATTTTTGAATTTTTAAGATTAAACTGATTTTTAATTTATTATTATTAATTACATAATGTTCGTGATTTTGAAGAATTTAAAATATCAACTTTAAACGCTCATTAAATATAATTCTACTTATACATATTTGACATTTTTAAACTGCTATAATATCAATTTATGAGGAACTTTGTATTACATTTTTTAAATTTCTTACTGAAATTCCAAAATTTGAGATGTCTGTTTAGTGAAGACGAAGAATATATTTGTACATATTGTAAATTGTAATAACAGTAAAATGTTTCAAGATCTAAGGTTAATATTTTTTGAGTAGCAATAAAATAAAGCAAATAGTTTAATAAAAACTATTATATTTTGTATAAAATTACCAAGCAGATCCAATTTGCTACCGAAAACAAAAGTAAAGTTAGAGATCAAAGCAGTTTAGCAGCTTTAAAATGTACACAAAAAAATATCCAAAAAAACACACACACACGCTTTTCAGTAAAACTCCAATACATTCCATCGCATTGTTCAGAATCTAAAAAAAACACACTTCATTGGAAATCCAATATAGTCATCGATGGTTCGCTCAGAATCCAAAATGAATTTAATCCAAAATAAAAACAGTACACATTACTGTTCGTAAGCAACTTTAAATATTATCTTTTAATCCTCGTCCTCGGTTTTATAATACCGATCATCAGCATGTTTTTTTTTTCAATTCGTCATGTCATCATCTGGAACTCTGGAATACGCCAACGTTTTAAATTTTTTAAATACGCTTTTTTCGATTTTTTTATGGTTATTTTTCAGGCGTTTGTTGGCTGGCTTCCAAACAAAATGATTTTAGTACCTTGGTATAATAGATACTCTAACCTTTTCGGTCGCCTTTTGTAAAAGCTCTGTCTGATCACACACGCAATGATGTTTACGACACTAGCAAAAAAAACAGCGAAGTGGGTGTGTACTTTTGACTCACTGCCGTCGTAGTCTCGTCTCAACCCTGTATAATAAGATATTACATTTTTTTTTTTTTGAAAAATCTGAATAAATTATATTGTTGAATTTAAAATTCGCTCGACTTACCCGTTTATGAATTGTTATTATTCAATGTACGTCAATCTGAAGTGTATATGCATATATATATTGTGTATTTATACATTATAACACGGCTAAACTACAACTTGTAATCGTTGGTTTACAACAATAATTACAAATAAAAATGCTATTGCTTACATTCGATTTGTGAAATACAAGACAAATCTTGATCGAACATTGATCATTTCATAACTATAATTTATTGCTAGAATACTACATTACTACGGTTTTAAAGAAGAACATCGGGTCGAACAGTACGATTTCTTGAACACGGGGCCATTTTCGTCGTTTGCATACAAACTAAAAGCAAAACCGGGATGAAAATTGGTGGAGAGGAGTAAACATAAATAACATGTTTTAAAATTCTTAAAATTATTAATTAACTGCTGCTCTTGAAATAAAAATTATGTTTCTGTACATTATTTAGTGGATGATTTTTTTGAAAATTTTATTGTACCTAATTTAAAATTTAAACGAGTTGTTTTTCAGGTTATCAAAATATATATGTTAAGGATAATAGCCCTTAAAAATGGTTTTACAAAAATATAAAATAGGTGTAATATCGGATTTAGTAGTTAGTATACTTAAACCATTTTTATAAATTACTAAAAATTTTAAATTACCATAGATATCGTCCCCATAATATCCTCCAAACCCATTATCATAGACATTATTATCCTTAATACACAAAGTTAAGTAACTCAAGAGCTAGTCGTTCGAATTTTGATTTTGATATACGTTAAAATGCTCAAAAAAATTATCTGCTAAAAAATTGACTCAAATTGTATGTATAAATCTGAAAAACGGTTGTTTGTATCTAAACAGAACACTTCTTAAGTAGTATGTAGCTACATAAATTACTACAAGACATTTCAATAATTTTAAAATATGATTTTTAAGTAAGTCTAGGTAGGTATACCTATATTTAAACATTTCAAATATCAAAATACTGATAACTGCGTTATTGAAGAATAAAAAAGGGGGCGAGCATTCTTGGTGAATCGCCCTGTGTATAGATTGTACCTACTTAGTTATTATATTATTATATAGGCACCTACCTAATATTATGTGTTAGGTTGAATTATATTATTGACTTTTATTTAACATACAACTATACAATATAATTTGATTAATTGGTCCAATAATCTAATTGTACCTATTGTGCTGGCCGCTGGGTGCCTTTTTGCAAAATAATTTAATTACAATAATTATATGTAGGAAGATAAGGGGAAGTTTTTTTAATGTTGAACTCATTATTTCAAAAAGTATTAAAAAGAATAAAATTTTGAATGAGTAATTAATTATTTGTAAGTATTTATAGCTAATATGAGTGGAATAGTAGATAAACATTTTCCATGGTTCCAGAGGTAATCTAATCCACTAATCTAACTTTATATAGGTTGAGCCTTGTTAGAATACAATTATTAATTATTATTTAACTGTGTAAGAATTATTGTATACAGAAATCAACCATTTTCCTTAATTGGTATTCTTATAAAGTTCTTTATAAGATATAACAAATTTACAATGAGCCTATATAATATGACTGACTGATTAAGTATTATAATAATAATATTATTTATTTGAGTTTAAATTCTCGGAATCAATTAATTTTAATAACTGTTGAAATAATGTACACACAATTATAGGAAAAACCTTACGTGATGATCAAAGAGGACAAAAACCTAACGGGAAATTCAAAATACGAAGGATTTTGTATTGATTTACTACACAGAATAGCATCTCAAGTTGGATTTCACTACGCAATCACATTAGTGCCTGACAACAAGTATGGAGCTTACGATCCAACCACGAAGCAATGGAATGGTATTGTCAGGGAACTCATGGACAAGGTAATTATCTGCACAATAATATAGGTAATACACCACATATGATATTAACCATCAAAAAATGTGTTTTTATTTCAGAAAGCAGACTTAGCGATGGGTTCGATGACTATTAACTATGCTCGTGAAAGCGTTGTTGACTTCACAAAGCCATTTATGAATATGGGAATAGGCATATTATTTAAGGTAAGACCAAAATACATATAATTAAAGTAAATACAAAATATATGACTTCTGAAAAAAAATACGGATAAATCAATTAAAATGTATAGAACCTAATTATAATACATCGACAAGGACAGGTTTAATTAATTTAATTTATATTGTAAAGAATACATCATAAAGTTTGATAAAAAAAAAAATAAATAACAAAGTAGGTACAGCGAACTTTTACAATCATCACTTAAAATCTAAAAAGTTTGCGATTCTCCGGAGCGTTTTATTACTACGCTTAATTTACTTTTCCTATTACACGAACACGAGTGGTAAAAAAACAACACAACAATAAGACCTGTAAATAAAAATAGAATCAACAAAACCACAACTTTAAACAACAGTTTGTTTTTTATTCTTGTTGCAGGTCCCGAGTAATGAACCATCCAAATTGTTCGCTTTCTTAAATCCCTTGGCGACCAGTGTCTGGAGTTTTATGTTTCTCGCCTATATGGCTGTGAGTTTTTCGCTGTTTTTCCTGGCCAGATTCTCCCCGTACGAATGGCGTCCACACACTGAAGAAAATTACCGAGAGGGTCGTTTCACAATATCGAATTGCTTTTGGTTCGTTGCCGGTGTGTCATTGAAACAAGATGCAGGCATCACTCCAAAGGTAAACACAATTATAACATTATAACATTTCTCAATAACGTATTTATGGCGTATTTTTATTCATCCCACTATACACAGGCAACTTCTGCAAGAATTTTAGGAGGTATATGGTGGTTCTTCACGATCATAATAATACCATCTTACACCGCTAACTTGACGGCATTGAGAACAGTTGAGCGCCTACAAAAACCCATACAAAATGTAGCGGAATTGTCGTCGCAAGAAAAAATAACATACGGAACCCTCGAAGGGGGATCAACCATGTCATTTTTTAGAGTAAATATACAACAAAAAATTATGTTTTTAATAAAATATTTCGTTATACCTAACCATGTAATTTTAATAGTTGACCGTTCAAATTTAAATTTAAATTTAAATTATATTGTTAAGCGAATATGCATTAACGTAATATAGTAGTACCTATATACATAAGTATATTATACTGTGTTTCACTAACCTGAAACCGTGACATAAGCTCAGGGCCGGATTGGCCCGGCGAATTACCGAGTAAAACTCGGTGGGCCGTGACAATTTTAGGCCGTTTAAGTCATGAGGGGCCTTACTGTCTTAAAATATAGTAAACGTTAAAAGTTGAAGAAATGGAGACTGTAAAATTAAAAAACTATACACGGAATAAGAACGTACCCCAGTTTGTATGTGGGCTAGTAAAGTACGAAAAATCGGTGGGCTAAATTTGGACAGTCCAGCCCTGCATAAGCTTATGCAATAATATAACTTCTTATACTAGTAACATACTTAACACCACGTTGTCGTTAAGTGCGTGTTCAACCCAGTATAAATAGAATCATATTTTTAATTTATTATTCTTAAAAAAAAACCTTACTTGAAATTTAGAAAAAACCCGTATTTTTAAAAACTTTAAAGGAAAATATTGATTGTTTTAAAATTATGACTCAGAGGATTAAAAGTACTTCATAATAAATTAAAATATGTTTTAAAAATTACTATAGGAGTAAAACTCAATTCAATACGTTAAACTGCGTATAGGTCTATTTTGCTCCAAAAAACGGTAGGTATTGTGGAATCCCCTTCATTATTATTGCTCATCTGGTCGTATGTAGAATGTACCGCTACAACGCTCTGGCATATAGTAAGTGTCGAGTGGGTAGAGGTATCAAGAGAGAACATTATTTTAACAATAAAATATTAAACATTTTTTTTAACCCGATTAATTTAAAAGTACTAAGAATTTTCGATTTTGACCTCTTAAAAATACCAACTAGATGTAATTTTCTACCAAGGAATGGCCAAAAAATTCTCCAAGTAAAAAAAACACATCATTGTAAAATCAATACATTCATCGCTACGCTCAGAATCTAAAACGAAGTTATCATTTTTTAGCCCACTAAGAACTTTTAATTTTTTTTGAAACCTTTTAATGAAAAAATAATATAAATGATCATGATACATTGATATCGAAGATGCGATACCAATGAAGTATGCACTATGCACTATGCGCATACGGCATAATATTAAAAAATTAACAATAGAACGTCCAAAATAAGCCACAACTCACTTACTAGAAAACATAAAAAAATAACCTAACCTAACTTAAAGCACGGACTCGATCGTGAGGTACATCACTGAGATACATCGACCCCCTCCTTATAAATTATATTCCGGAAACAATTATGTTGTCTGTTGGCTCAATGACTTTCACTTAATACCCGCATCCTTACTATACGAAAGTTTAACATTAATATTTGTTACACTAACTGTGGATAATTCCCAATGACAAGATATCGAATGCATTTTTAATTTCATAACATTTTTCATAATATACCTAATCATATTATTTATAGGACTCCAAAATACCAATATACCAAAAGATGTGGAAGTTCATGGAAAAACATCAATCGGTATTTGTATCTACTTACGACGAAGGCACGAAAAAAGTACTAGGGGGGAATTATGCATTTTTAATGGAATCAACGATGATAGATTATGCTGTACAAAGAGACTGCAATTTAACGCAAATCAGCGGCCTCTTGGATTCTAAAGGTTACGGAATAGCAACGCCAAAAGGTTCAGAATGGAGAGACAAACTATCATTAGCCGTACTAGAACTCCAAGAAAAAGGAGTCATTCAAATGTTATATGATAAATGGTGGAAAAATGCAGCCGATATATGTATCAAAGATGAAAAAGTAAAAGAATTCAAACCTAAGCCTTTGGATCTTAACGATTTAGGTAAATGAAAGAATATAAAAGTAAAATACATTATCTTAATTAAATTCGTCAGTTGTAATGGTATTGATTAAGAAATGGACCATCAGTTTTAAATTAATTTTTTTTACGCAATTGGTTTTTAATTAAAATATGCACAAAATTGCACGTTTTCATTTTTTTTTTAACATAAGAAACGGTCAACAACCACTATATTAGAAATAATAATTCATTTGATACAAAATATAATTTTAAGTTGAAACTAAATTTCTCAAAACAAAATGTACATATTATTAATATTATACTTCTAATATTAGGTGGAGTGTTTGTATTTGTTTTGTGTGGGCTAACTGTAGCTGTTATCATAGCAATATTAGAATTCTGCTGGCATTCCAAGAAAAAGTCAACAGATCAAGTATTTAATATAAACTTTTATTGATAATGGCTCTGTTTGATTTCATGAGTAATATTTTGTTAAATTTAAATTGTAGCAACTTCCTGTTTGTACGGAGATGGCAGAAGAACTAAGATATGCAATACGGTGTGATGGTACCAAACACAAAGCAACGTTAAAACGAACGTGTAATGGCTGCTCGCCTATCACTACATACGTACCAGCTCCAATGCATATAAATCACGTTACCAGTCAAATTGTAAGTCATGAAAATCAATACAATAAAATCGTTTTATTACTATCGCTTGTACGCCTATGTGTAGGTAATAATTAATCAATACAAAATTATAAAGTACCTATATAAACCAAAAAAAAAAAGAAAAGAAAGAAAAGAATGTTCATTAAAAGGACGCTACCCACACATGACACATTTGTTGTCTCCGTCTTACACACGCAAGACATAGCAAATTGTCGTTCACTAGTTTCAATAGTGTGCTAGCTTTGATACTAGAGTGAATTGACCTATTATAAAACTTTTAGGTAAGAACATTATCTGTGCTTAAGCGTTGCCGATTTTTCAAAATTTTCATTTTCAAGCAAGATATTATGGTATTTGAAATATCAAAAATAAAAATGCTCAAATCTCACTTGAAAATTAAAATATCGAATAAAAGCCAAAGCTTAAACACAGATAATATTGTTATCTATAACATTTATAATAGGTCAAATCACTCTAGTATTACTAACAGCACAATATTGAAACTAGTCAACGAAAATTTGGTATGTCGTACGTGTTTACGATGGAGACAACAAATGCATGGGTAGCATTCTCTTAATAATATTGTAAAAATACAAATTTCCTTAACATAAATAATTAAATACTGTAATTTTTCATGAAACAATTCTTTGTGTGCATACTATATTAAAGTGATGTGTTTTTTACGAATTAAATGTATTGTATATATTTATTTTTTTTACCTACTAACACTTGCATCTGTCTTAGGACAATGTTCCTATGATTGAACTAACGAGGCCTTCAATCAGCGTCGACCACGAAGACAAATAACATTTACCTTCCGATTCGCCACCGTTACATCCAGCGAGTCGGAGTCCGTTCAAAAATGTCCAATTTCGATTCCATTGAATCTCAAAATCCATTAAGAGACAAAATAAACTGCCTATAAATTAAGATCTACATACGTTTTGAATCCACCATAAACGGATAGTTACTAGTTTTAAATTAAAGTGTATATACATTGTTATTCCATACATTTTATTTTATATATTTATGTGAATTAAACAATCGATTTCTTTATTGCAAATAAATAACTATATTATATTATAATAAAAATTGTTCTATGTTTATGTTGATTTATATGTTATTGTTATACAATATTCACTGAGACATAATACCTAATAAAAATTATGTATATAACTATCTACAATGTTATTAAATCAAATTTTAATTTATCGAAACAAAAAATATAAGTTACTTAGGTTTTGTTAACTGTACCTAGAGCCTCTAAACATTGATTAGCTCTTATACTTACTAAAAATACATTTTTCTTTAAAGATTCCATTGAAATATGTTCCAATAGATTTTTCCATTCTTTTGACATTTGTTCAATTTTTTCGATTTCGTTTCCGCTCTTCTTTATATCATAGTTTATTTTCCACAATTCTGTTAAACTGTTATTGTTTTTGGCTGTTTCATTAGTAGCATGAAAATCAATTTTATGTAACAACTTATCTATCAAGTGAAAAGTATAAAATATGCTTCGAAGTGAACTGGAACTGGGCACGATCTGAACATCAATCTTTATACGATTTATAAGTAAATTTATAACATTCCATCTAATATATTTGTCGTAGCAAAATTTGGCGAGTAAATTACATTGATACTCGACATGAATAGACTAAATAAATACAAAAAATAAATTAATTAAACTATAAAACTTCATGATTGAATGAGTCGGGTATATTATTTATTTCAAAATACCCGCTACCTATACAATTTTATTATATATAGGTAAGTAACAATAGCGTATCTAGAATTTTTAGGGGGGGATGTAAAATTGTAAAGACTTTTGATAGACATATTCAGTACACATATAATACTTATATTATTATATTTATGTTGTATTGTGTGCAAAATTTAGTCTCTGGGGGGAATATGACCCCCATTTCCCCTACTACCAACATAACCGTAGACAAATCACTGCATAGTAAATTGATATATTCGATCACTTTAACAGTACCTATATCTAAAACCATTAACCACCCATGGACTTATAATATATTACAGTAATTTTTTCATATGTCAGTTGATTGTAAACATGTTATTAAACAAACGAAAATATCTGATAGAGATGTAAGTATTATTTGTATGTCAGTCCAAAAATTAAAGAAAAAAAAATAAGATATATACTTAGGTACCTACATCGAGCAATGTTTATTAAAGACAAAAGTACGAAAATATAATCGATTATATGCATATAAATGATGGTAATAACTAATAACTAATAACTATAGCTGGGTTCACACTACACCGTGTCGTGTAAAATAATCATGGTTACCACAATTACCAAGCGATGTACGGTTAATACTACGAATACCAAGATAGTACCTAGTACCGTTCCGAACCATAAAAATTGTTTGGTAAACATTGCTTGGTAACTGTGGTAACCATGATTATTTTACACGACACGGTGTAGTGTGAATCCGGCTTAATAAGTCTCAAATAATGAAAATCAAATCACAACAAACACAGCAAAAATAAATATATTTATAGTAACTATGACAAATTATGTCCTTGACTTTGCCCTCTATTCTAAATTCTAAATTTAGTAAACATATAAATTGTTTTTGCGATAGTGTTTTATACATTAAAAGTGAATGTACTAGGTACTAGGCTGAGACTAGGTAATCAAAGTCACTTAATTGGATCGCTTTCTGAAAATATTGTGACTGAAGGTGATAAAATAATATACTTAGGGCCGTTCTTACAATGTCCGGTAAAGTGTCGGTTAACGCTAACCGACTGATAACAGATTTTATTACCGGCAGAATTCTTCCGGTTAAGTGTCGGTTAACTTTAACCGGACATCGTAAGAACGGCCCTTAGTTTCTACATAAGTTATTTAAGTTCTGCAAGCTTTTATATTTGTGGCCATGACTTACGTTGTATAAGTGATGATTGTTTAAAATTGTAAATGCAGTATTTTGGACAAATTTCATCACATTGTCACGGCAAGTGAACCCAAATTCATTACTTTCTGCTATGTCCGCTAACAAGTCGGAGAAATATTTTACAAGATTATTACAATTATCCCAATTAGAAACAGCTTCTAACAATTCTGAAGTATCAAATAATGTACATATAAGAAGATCTAAAGCGCTCTGTATTGACTGTGACATTATTTCAGGAGATATTTGATTAGTATTCTGAGAACTCATTTTTATAATATTTGTGTTATAACCAGAATCAGTTGGCAACTTAGACATCTCGTTCAAAGTTTTCATAGTGATTACAGGTTGGACTAAACATGTATATGATTTTTTAATTAAGTCAGAATAGTTCGATGAATAGTTACTAACTGAAGACATTCCATAGTCAATATTTATTTTTTCTTCTTCTGGCGTAGTATCTAAAATAATATAATATGTTTTTAGTAATAAAGATTACAATGTTATTGACAGTAACTGTCAACTGTATGTGCATGTGCTGTATCCGCCTTACAAAGGTAAAACATTGCAAAAACTGTTTTGCGCTCGAAAGGCTACAATGATAACTAAGAAACAAAATTTTCACCTCATAAAACGGAAAACTTTGACTTAGTTGTGACTGTAACCTTCTCGGTTCTTTCCCACGCAAAATATTTTCGCTATGCTGTACATTTGTAAGACGGAGACAACACATGCGGGTGTATCTTAAGTAAATAAAACTATAAACTATAAATGTTTTAAAAATAAATACCAATAAATGAAGGTTATATTAAAAGTATTAAAATTAGTACTAATAATCGTATAATAAATTTTATAATTGTCATTAATTTAATCTAGATGACAGATGTATCAATGTATGTGTAGGTAATTAAATTATAGGTATTTACACAAGTACAAAATACAATAAACGAATAAATTTAAAAAAAAAAAACATTTTTTAGTTAAATATTCTTGAAATAATATCTAATTATGCAATTATAATTATTTAAATAAGACAAACAGAATAGAATATCAGGCTTTGGACCCAAATTGATTTATTTACTAGAGTTTCGAGTGTTGGATCTTGGGATGTATTCGAGTGTTCAAACACCAGAATAAAAATTTAAATTATCATTTAGGTGCTCATAACTGTCTACATTTTTAATTTATACAAAATTCCTAGAATATTAACTCATCTCAACAAATACTATTTAGATTAGTTATTACAAAATATAAATTCAGATAGTTGTCTAGACACTAGACCAAAAATAGTTTATATCACTTAAAATTATACCATGTGCAATACCTATGGCTTATATTATTATATTTTTAAATGTTACTATTATTTTAATAAAATAGCCGGGTTATAATATTTTAATCAGTTACTCAGTAAATGTGTATCAACAACTAGAAAAAGCTGATTTTGCTTTCCTGGCTTTTTCATTAACATATTATATTCAATATATAATTTTAAACGCAGTACGCAGTGACCGTCTAGACAGGCACAAAGTACGAATTACATGTAAACGTGAACTTATTACAAATCGATCTATAAAATCAAATTATATGTAACAAATACAAATAAAAAGAACACATCACATATAATTGTTATAATAAAAATTGAGGAACCCACTTCTGCTGTATAGTATAGGTTTCAAGTGTATCTCGTCATTGAGAATAGCTAGGTCACAGTATGATTTATGAGTAGTTCAGTAATAAATTAGTAGCAATGTAACATATATTTCTAAGGATATTTTTTGTCAGGGGTCATTAATTGCGGCCCGCAGACAAAAAAAACTGTTAATATTTTACGTTCTAGTATTGTAATTGATCATTTTTGTTCATTGGTTTTTACCAATGTTAGCAATTTTGATGGCCCGCGAACAATTTCCAGGTTCCTAATGTGACCCTTCAAAAATATCAATTAGTGAGCTTTATATCATATTACTTATATGTTAGAAGCTATATTATATTTATGTTATTAGAAGTATTTTCTTAATTCAGTGGGTTGGACCAATTTTGTAATAATTATTATAATATTATATCACTAGCTGATCCCGTGCACTTCGTCGCCCGTTAAATGGATCAACTCAATACTACCTACTCAAACTTTGTTCAATTCATTAACGTGTATGGTGTTCAAAATTTATCTTATCTTTCCCGTTGCCCTGAATAAAAATTCTGAATCGCAGCAGTACATTATCAGGTAGGCAATCTACCTGCGGTAGATCGCGGACCCCGTGCTGTTTGTACGGAAGTGTATGATTTAACTCTAAAGTATCAAAGTTATACCAAGTTTATTTTGATGTAATACTGTGGATTAATATAATAAATTTGGTTGCTCGTAAAAAATCGCAACTCTTAAAAAAATTATGATTGTTGAACTCCTTTTGGGTGTAATTTTCTGCGGTAAGTGCAACTCTGCCACCCTGGTAAGCATTGTTCAATAATTCGATTTGATGCAAGCTTGTACCTGATCTGCCCGAATAACCAATGGCAACCAATAAATAAATGCTAATTTCTAATGTAGACTGTAACCAATGGCAACTATAAATAAATAAAAATAAAATTTCCAATTTCTATCGTGAATCTCAATGTCCCTGTTTCAGCACCTATTTAAAATGCGAATTTTGGCAAATCCTTTCTTAGCGCACGTCTATATTATAATAGCTATCTGTATGCCAAATTTCAGCCAGATCCGTCCAATGGTTTGAGCTGTGCGTTGATAGCAGTCAATCAGCTTACTGTTTTTTATATACAGATATGGTTGCCATGGTAATATGGACACACACACACACACACACTGACATACATTCATTTTTATATATATAGATTGATATGAAATCTTGGTAACCTTAGTAACCATGGCAACCTTGGTAACCATGGTAACATGGACACACAGACACACACACTGACATACATTCATTTTTATATATATAGAAGATTGGAAACAATAATATTATGGTTTACTAATAAGCTTGCAGTGATTGTTACAAACTGCTTCGGCAGTGTAAACTTAATGGAATGGTATTCATTTTTAAACATGTTCTGCAGGTATTTAATTTTACCAAAATTACTTTTACTCGAAATTATACTTAAAACTAATTAGATACCTCGATAGTAATGAACATTATAGCCTATTGGTTTAATTTAAACTTAATTTGAATTCTATGTTCATAGGTGTATATTATATTATTTAATTATTATACATACATAATTTTTCATGATTCTGAAGATCCACGAAAGATAGAGACAGAGACGCATTTTCTTTAATATCTTGTTGATTAGATAGTATGTTCGGTTCAGAATCACATAAAAATTCCTTTGTAAATTAATAAAAACATTAAATACTAGTGTACTAGATATTAACAAACGTACAAAAAATTATAACTCAACATTTTCTATAACAAAAATAGAAAATTATTTTGACGCTACGTGCCAAAAATAAATTTTTTTTTTGAGGGTGCTATTAATTATGAAAAATATTATATATTATAATATATTTATATTCAATATTGTACGGAAATAATTATCGTACAATTCGTTATCGAATTTTAATTCTTTTAATGTTTTCTGAAAGACTACTACGATACTAAAAAGTAAAATCTAATATTGTGATGTAATTTATTATTAAAAATAAAAATAATATATCTAGTAAAAATATTTTCATTTTTCAAGTGCCCTCGAAATTTGTTCATATGCCACATTGGACACGTGTGCCATAGATTTTCCATTCCTGGTCTATAACATACCCAATAAATTAAAATAATTTCTTTTTAAGATTTTAATTTTTAATTATACCTAATTATTTAACTATGAAATATATATACAAAAATCTTATTTTTTTCTATTCCATCGTTCAGTTGAGTCGCAATCAATAGGTAGGTACTTACCAAAAATATTTAAAAATCCGATAAATTATGTTTATATTAATATAAGAATTAATTGCATTTTAAAATATGGTGTTTGAGTAGGTAATATGTATATTAAAAAATTCCAAAAATCAGAATTTGAATAAATTCATTATTAAATGTTAAAATAAGGGTGAGCTGCTTGCTGAATCACTCTGTATATCATTTTTATTAACTTATATATGTTATAAGTAAATTCCATTATGGAATTTAATTGTGTATAAAAATAATATAACACAATTTCAAAAAGTTTTAAGTCTTTACGATTAATATTTTTTAATTACAACTTACAAGTATTTGCAACAGAATTACAAAAATCGTTAGAGAAAACCCCGTTATAAAAAGTTAAAATTTAAAAAAAATACTGCCCGTGTATTTTTGTTATTTGTTTAGTTCCAGTATGAAGAACTTATGAAAAAACTTAAAAAATATATAAAAACTTGTATTAAACCATCAAGATTTTAGAATAAGAAACAAATATTGGTATCAACATAAATAAAAAAGTGGGAAATTTAAATAACTTAAATCAGCACCCAAAATAAACAAAAATTATTCCATATCTAGAAAATATTTGGTGAACATTTTGATTCTCTATCCCTAGATTAATTTGAATATAAAAAGAATCGATTATGTCAATAATTGCAGAGTGCAGATTATGTTACGATAATATATTTTATAATTCCCGTTTTCCCGCTGGCTATTCTTTGTTAAATGTCCCCAGTGATTAAGAAAATAACTGGGAATTTCTTATTTGCACACTTTAATATCAACTAGATTGGATTTACTACTAGAAACCACCCTAAATATTAAAGATGTTTCATTTGTTCTGCTTCTAAACGTGAGAACAGAAAACAATTTGTTTAAAAAGAAATACATCAATGTAAATCCATTAACCAATACATTCCTCGCCTGTCCATAATCCAAAATTATGGCAAATTGATTACCTATACTAAGAATTAGCCATTTTATAAGAAATAACCATTAATCTTACGTACCTGAAAAAACAATTCAGTCTCCTTCTCCATAATTTTTGACTGAACGCTAGTAACATAATCCACTATATCCATACCAACAGGTTTGTTTTGTATAAAATTAACGGCCAATGCCGTATTTAAATCACTTTCCATTTCTGTATAAGTTTAAAATTATTGAACATTTTAAATAAAATAATTCAATTCAATGTTTTATTAATTTAACTTTTAATTATGTATAGAGTATATTTGTACTTACCTAAAATAATTCGATAAAATGTATTTTTTATAAAAATAAAAGTTTTATTAAATATTTACCAATAATCTATATACCTATACCTACTATAGAAAAATATAATTCTTAAATCGTCTTAATTTGTTTTCTGTAGCATTTTAGGAGCTCAAATTGACAATGGTACAACAATATTATATACCTAATCAGCTATCACCAATCACTAATCAGCATAGCTGTATTACCCGGAGTGACCCGGTGGTAAATAAAACCAAGATGGGAAATATAGTTGCGGAGGATAGTAATAACTGTCTAATAAGTAACATTTCATACTTAGGTGTACCTAAGGTAATAAGGTGTAAGTGTAACCAGTTGCAAGCAAAAATAAACAAATATGCGATTATGATTTTAAAATTATTAATAGCAGATAAGACTACTGTCTCACTAAAATAACTGGTACAATCTACTATCCAAACCTTCTTTGAATCGTAAAAATTGGTCTAGTATTTTTAATATCTATTATAGTTTATCTATCTATCGTTTCCGTTTTTCTTCATTGGAAAAATTCTCAATTACTTTTTGGCGAAATCAGTTGAGTATTTATTTTAGTATCTCAATTATACACTTTACTTCCTTTATAAAATAACTGTAACTTGGCTTTATTAGCCTTAATGATAAAATATAATAGGTAGGTACAATATAGAAAATGATATCCAATCATACATTTTTTACCCTCGAAAACGCATGCACCATTAGGCTTTGTGTGGGGGATACAATTGGAACGCGTATTTGTATGTAAGACAAGCAATGGCGGCGAGAAATTGTGTAAGCTTTGAAGCATATTGTATATTTTAAATATTTTTACCACAGTACCCTTCATTGAACCAAAATTAACAGCAGGGGCCATTAATAATTATTAATTATAATATTTGCCATAATATTTTTGTTGAGGTCTTACGATTATATATACATATATTTACACACCCACCCACATATTTCAGACATGAAGCAATTGCTTCAAATAATCCTATATCCCGCCGCTACTGAAGACAAGGATTCGTTGCAAAGATCCGGGGTCGGGGGGTGGTCACCCATTCAGAACTAGGAAGCTAGAGACGTTGGACGATGCTTCAATGCTTGACAGCAGCACACATTAGAGTCTAGAGACCAATGGCATCATGGCAATTATATACAATAACAAACAAACAAAATATTCGACTTCCGTGAGCTAAAACAAAATGCATAAGTGAGGCACGTGCCACCCTACAGCGGCCTATATGGGTCAAAAAACAAAGCATTATTGAAAACAGTCAAGTAGTTGTTGAGTATGGAGATCGTAGAAAGAAATAAAGAAAGTCGTATTAATTTATGTATAGAAATAAATAAATAAAAATAATTATAATATAATGCCTTATGGGAGTGTAAAAAAAATTTGGTTATAACTTTCTACTCTTTTTTTTTCTGGGGTGGCACCAATGGGTGACTTCCCCCCTCCCGCTAATCATCCCCATCCCATTTACTTATTGTAATATATATTGTAATTACAGATTGTAAATAAAATTTTGTTCAATAAAAAAAAAAACTTTCTTTTTTAGAAATTTTAGACAATATTTTTAATACAAATTTATTTTATTGGTTGCTTAGACGACAGCTGGGGATATCTGATCAAACAAAACCCTCCTCCCCACCCAATGGCAGTCACAGGATTCTTAATTTAGGGGGGTTCATAAAAGATTGTCAATATATTTTTTCTTGTGTAGTTTTATTTTGAAAATATAATATATTATGCCCCACTGGCTGTTTATCAGTGCTCTGTTTAAGTGGCAGGAAGCAGGTAGTTTGAAAATTTCTGGATGCAGTTTTAAAATTAGGAGTACCTATACATCACAACAGCACAACACTAGAGTAGGTACATCGACTCGATAAACCAATCGAACCGTGTCCGTGGTGAACATCATTTCGTCGAGTGCTTTTCACACCTTAATAATTTTTTTTACGATTTCTCGTATTAATATTATTACCTGAAATTATTAACGACTTAGGTAACTCACTAGTCACTGTGATTATGGATTTTGTTAGACGTAGACTGTACGCCTGAGCTCGCAAGCAATGGTTATTGTTAGATTTTGATTCTGACAAGACTACAACCGTGGATGTTCGAACGTATTGGACAATTTGGTCTTGTTCGTTGTTATAAAATATGAATTGTAATTTGAATTTTGTAGGTAATAGGTATAAATGTGTAATGGAAATTTGGAACATGTCAAAAAAGTTATGATTTATGAACATCAGTAGAGTTTGGAATCTTAACCACGGTTTGCCATACACGGAACATCTTTGATAAAAATAATTGAGGTTATGTCGCTTTATCAATTTTTCTACTCTTCTCTGATTCTCCGAACTAATAGTGATTGTATATTTCTGATTTCGTTTATTTGAGTATTAATTATTAAAACTTTGTATTATCGCTTCGCGTCTTTTAACCCTTTCTTAATCCTGAAACCGGTACTATACTACCAGAATATATTGTACTACTTGAATTCAAATATCGCGTTAGAAGTGGTTATTTTAAATCCACTACAAAGTACAAACCAAATCATTCCATCATTATTTTGAGCCAACTAAAATAATATATTATCATGGATGGGTCTAAGATGTCGCAAGATGAACTCGTGGAAAAATTAAAACATCAAGTGGCTTTAGAAAACATAGAGCTATTATTGATGGTAAGTAGTGTATTACGGTTTAGTACAACTGTATACGATTTAATAATTAATGAAAACAATTTACTTAAGCACACCTACTACATGAATATTATATAATATGATTTGATTATCAAACAAATTGTTCAAAAATCATTCAAGAGCTAATGTTTAATATCAATTAGGTATTTATAAATGTTTGTACACCAACTGTAGTGACCATAAATATTTAATGTCCTTAAACTTTTAAGACCTATACTGGCATAATAATTTTAGTTTGCTATTTAGAAACTATATATAATAAAAACAATTAAATAAACCATTCAATGTCCTCATCATTGTATTGTGGATAATTTTGACAAATAACCAATGATATATTGTATAGGTTCTAAGACAACTATACCTATCTACCTATAAATAATTGTAATTTGTGTAGCCGGTATGTAATTGTTATTTAAAAATATATAAAATTAATATAGTTTTCTAATTGATTTCTTAGTATGTGTTATGCAATTTAAAAGTATTAAATATAACCTAACTTTAACTAGAGTAAATTGAGTGAATATATTAAGTGTAGGTATCGTATTTGGTTCAAAATGTTCTTTTAATCTCCATATTCATAATATCACAAATCAAGCTTTAACTAAATTATGTTTTATTAAGGGCCAGTTGTACCATCTCTGATTAAAGTTAATCTGAGTTTAATTTGCCCAGTTAAATATCTGTTATCAGCTAATTAAGCTGATGGTAGGAAAAAGTCCTAGAAAAAAAGTCTTGGGGCTAAAAAGTCTGTAATCTAAAGATAATATCTAATAATTATGTGATCATATAATAGGTAACTATTAATAAATACAAAACTGATATAACAAAAATAATAACTAATAATTATAAAATTATAAAAAACAATATCTCATTGAATCTTAATCAATAATATTATTCAAAAATTATAAATTTATAAACCACTAAGCTAGATGACTTGTTAGGAACATTTGTACAGAATAATAGGAAAAAAAAATATTACATACTTATAAAAATATCATGAACTTTTTTTGCCTCGAGACTTTTTTTCCGTTCCCCGATCAAGCTTAATCAAAGTTTATCCGTAGACGGCCCTGGTACAACTGGCCCTAAATGTACTTGTAAAGATACTCACAATGATTAATGGTTTAAAATTGCTATACTTTATTCTAGTACACTATAACCTCAACTAAGTCTGGGGTGGCAAAATACCTTATCAATTAATATGCCTCTCAATAATTCAAAATACATTTTTTTGTTTCCAGTACAATATACAAAGAACCCCTTATTCTGGTTATGATGTTGCTCATTGTTATTTTGCTATTATGGCTTTAGATAAGAGATAAAAATCATTGTCATTTTTGCATAAAATATTAAATAGTGTTGTGGATTGTCCTGAGTAAATTGAGTTTTTAATTATAAGACTAATCTTCTGAATTCTAGAAATATACCTTTATTTTACTTACAGAATATGTCTATAAACTGTAAGTCATTCCTATCGGATATTTTGATGTCTAATAGTATAAATAATTTTGATTTTTTTTCCATTCATCAACTTTTTGTTAGCACAAAACTTTATTAAAAGAAAATACCTACATTTAATATATTTAAAAAAAATACATAGTTTAATCATCTGTAAATAGAAAGTACATAGAAAATTATGTGACTTCATACTCCTACCACTTCCAAACTTAATCATTATAAACAATTTCTACTGTTTAACTTATAATTTTAGGTGCCCTATAATATGTGGTGTATACTATTTTGAATACCTTGTACAGTCTTAATTACATTAATAAAATATAAAAAATTCTTATTGTAAGACATTTTAAAACATATAGGTGAGTATAATTATAATACCTAATTGAATCTTTAAATTTCAGAAAATGAGTCGATTGTGTTTCAACAAATGTATTATAAAGCCAGGACCTTCACTAGATAGTACTGAACAAGTAAATATCATATAATATATAATAATATATTGCATTTAAATAAAGTGCAATATAAAATTACAATTTTTTTTTTTAGAAATGTGTTTCAATGTGCATGGACCGATATATGGAAACAGTGAGTCTAGTTTCAAAGTCCTTTGGTGAACGACTAATGGCTGAATCCCAAAATATGCATTAAACCAAAACAATGCATCAAATGAGTGTTACTTGTAGCTATAGTTTTCTGTCATTCGTACTGTTAATTGTTTATTTACATTTGTAATTAATTTTTAAATACTACAAATAATTTGATTGTATAAAAGTAAAAAATAAACATCAGAAGTCTAAAATCTTGTTATTTTGCATTGAAATGTTCAAAGATGTATGTTATGAGTCCTTATCTTTTCTGGGCTGCCATTTTGAGTCTAGAACAAAAAAATGTATTCTTAAATATTTGTTAGAAAATTATTTTTTACAGTTTTCATATAATCTAATAATCTAGTGTTGTATGTTGTCAAAAGATTATTAGCTGAAAAAATATTTCATTTATTTATTAATAATTATGCAACTCCAATTGAAGTTAATATTGTTATTACTTATAAATTATAATATTACTATATGATGGTACATTTTATTTAACTTACAGATAAATCAGTGCTTGGTAGGCTGTCATTTCCACATGAAAGATTTTCATCAGTTTCAATATCCTCCAAACTAGATTCATTTTTATTACTTTTTATATCAGAATTAATATCTTCATCTGTGTTTTCATTTTTATCAGTAGCAGGTGGTCTTTTAATTGGTGATAACTGTTCTATGCTTAAGCTATTTAAACTCTCTGTAAAAACAAAAATATATTTCAAAGTTAATATTAGATAAATTATAAATTAATTTTAATATTTCTCAGTAAGGGTATATTATAATGAAATAATGAATTTAAAACATTAAAATGTACAAACTACTAAGTGTATTTAAGAGGACGGTATACCCCCATGCTTTGTTTCTGTCTTACAATTAATGCAAAACATAGCAAACTGTACGGTCTGAATAATCTATTTAACTTGTGTATGATTAATATAAGAGAAAATTTAGAAGTAAAAGTAATATCTATAGTCTGGTCACTGAGAGGATACTACTTGGCCGGTCATCCAAATAAACTCATTCCACTGTCTCAAGGTCTAATTTCTCCCACCAAGTAGACTGCCGTGAAGCATCGCTTAACAATGTGAAGGCCAATTGTCCAACCGCAGAAGATGAGCGGACTCCGAAAAGTTATGGTCGCGACCCAGTAGAGTTTTTCTTGGTGACCAGACAATTGTGAATCTCATAGGTTTTATTTAAAAATGAACAAACAATTTTCAATTTTAAAATACTCATACTAACTTACCTTAAAATTAAAATATAATAAAAACCCTACGATATTCACTAGATAATATTCTTACTTCTAAATTTTATAATAGGTCAATTCACTCTGATATTAGTCATAAAAGAGTTAAATGGAATATTCAGAATGTACAATTTGTCATGTTATCTTTCGTAAGATGGAGACAGCGCATGCGGGCCCTCTTATATTATATACATAAGGCAATATAAATAAAAAATTAATTCAAATAGTTTAAAATAATAAAGCATTATGTTTAATATAACAATAAATTATTCACTTACCAGAGCTTTCGATATCTTTTAACTGTATATTATCAGATAAATTAAGATTTGATGATGACAATGAACCCAAATGTGCATGAGTTTCATAAATCTCATAATCTGCATTTTTTTCAAATAATTTTGTTTTAACTGGTGATAAGCTTGGTGATTTATTATTTTCAAATGTTGATTTTATTGTTTCTGAATTATTTTTTAATATTTGAGCTAGTGAAGATCCATCGTGTGTTTCACCATTATGTTGTGTTGCATTATGCTAGAAAAAATATTTAAATTAAAAAAATAAAAACTTTTATTTTTATAACAAACCTTAATGGCATCATTGGTTGATTTATATTGTGACTGGTAAGTTTCAAGAATTTGTAACAATAAAGGTCTTTTATCATCTAAAATAAATTATGAAATATAAATTTGTAATAAATCAATAAAACGTTCCTATTTATATTACCAATACTTAATTAAACTTAAATTAATTAACTACCTAATGCAATCTATATTGTACATGGTTATACTTAACTATAAGTTGTTCAAAGCATTAATGCATAATATTAAAATATAATTATGAAACAGCATGTACTATGTATAAATACTATAAAATAAATACTATATACAAAAAAAAAAAAAATGAAAGTGACTAAACACAAGATAACATACTTATAAACAGAACTCTAAACACCATATTATTATTATGCATATTTTATTTTGGTACATAAAAATTATAGCATAATAAACTTCAAATCCATGTTATAGTAAAATAAAATAAATGCAGTGACCATATTTGTGTATTTTACAGCTATTTTGATATTTTGTGTGATTATTAAAACTCTAACAAATTAACAATTTTAAGTTCAATTTATCATAGCCGTTTATGCCGACGACAAAGTAATTTTATCTATAAATGAGAATCCTTTAGATACTTCAAGAAATGTAAAAATGCATCTTAATCCCTTATCTCAGTGGTATGACAAATTGTGAGTTGAAATAAACCAAAATAAATCTGTACACTCAAACAAGGAATATGCCCAAACATTTCCCTAAATAACGTACCAATTCCTACATCCGACACAGTCAGATACTTGGGCTCAATACTTGATAAAAGACTGATATGGAATAAACACCTTCGAACCAAAAGACTATAAATAATTGTATGCATATGCTCAGACCTCTTTTAATTATAAATAAATGCTCCACTCTAAACATCAAACTATTAATCTATAAAGCTCTACAAAAACCGATCTGGGCGTATGGACTTCAATATTATGGCGTGCGGAAAAAAATCTTACACTCATAGACTTCAAACGTTCCAAAATATATCATTCAACGACTATCTGCCATATATCTCTAATTGAACTCTTCATAATGACTTCCATAATAGAAGAGGAAATCAGGAAACACATATCTTCAACACCAGTGGCGTACCCAGAAATTTTTTATGGGGGGGTCCAAATTTTTTGGATGTAAAAAGTATACAATAAGTGATTTGCACCTTAAGAATTTTAAATTTTGTAAATCAATGGGGGGTTCAGACCCGACCCCCCCCCTTTGGGTACGCCCCTGTTCTACACACTCTTCCATAAACGACTACAAACTCATCCTAACGCTCTCATAAAAGATCTTTTCATCCTTACACTCTCAGAAAATCATTAACCGTGGGTTAAAAAGGAAGTGGTCCCGTGACCTGCCAAACTTTAATATCAAACGCGTCTAAAAATATTTATAAAAAAAAAAAAAAAAAATGCAATAATTAAAAAAATTAATCAACTAGCCAATAATCACTAATGGGTGGCTACTTGAATCATACCGTTCTTGTTATATACTACTCATATCATATTAACTTAGAGTGCTAATTTGTATAAATTATTTATGTCAAATAAAAATATTAAAAAAAAGTTCAATTTTTTTTTTTTACTAATTTATTATGTATACTTAATTAAGCATAATAAAGACTGACAGTTGGTTGTCCTTGAATTATGTAAGTTATTTAGTTAATATAATAAATATTACCCTTTGAAAGAGAAAGATCTTCTAAAATATCATCTTTATCTTTGTATTGATATTGATGTGCAGCGCCAGTTTCAGAATCAAATACAGATGTTGTAAACGTTAGTTCCAAATACTCAAACAAATCTTTAACTAAAGATAACAATAACGTTCCATTATTATTAGAAACAAAGTCTTTAATTTTGTCTGTATACAATTTATTCTGGAAGAAAATAATAAATAATCATTAATAATTAACTATACCTACATGTTGTTATAGTACAAGCTTAAAACAATAAGAGAAATTGTAATAAACACTCAATCGTACTCATTATTAGAAAGAATAAAAGAGTTAAAGACCTTTAGTCTCTATAATATGAATAACCCAGTTGTGTTATCTTATTTAAAAACTACTATAAATTAAACAAATTAAATGCAAGGGATAAAGGGACTAAGATTTTTATATTTAACAAATACTAAGCAATAAGTTTATACCTCAGACTAGAAAGCATTGATATCAAAACTATAATATTGAGGTTCTCTATCTTAGACTATGCTATAACACTAAATGTAGCATGCGAATAGGGTAAACATTGAGGGTCATACATTTTCTGTTACCTACTTGACTAATAATCATAAATATTCAATTATTATAGGTACCTGAAATGATGAACCTTTTTCAAGAACGTGAAAAACATTTGCTCGAAGTTCGGCCTATTACATGACAAAAAACAAAAATGTTATAATACAGTATTAATTGATCCATGATCATCTACTAACTCTCATTTTAGACAAGACACCAGTGGATTCTAGTGTTTTCTCAACCATCTCTTCTAAATTAGTGTTATCGATGGACATTTTGAATATCACTGGATTTGCAGACGAAATTTGGTTCTTCAAAATCGTAACTAATACGCGTCAAACTCACTCAATCACGAACAATAAAATTGTACACGATTTTAAACAATAGATAGGTAGGTAGATATACCAAAATATGTATTAAAATAAGCACTATATTTACTTCACAGTCAATAATAATATTTGTACGAACATGAACTAACAAACATAATTATACAAAAGGTTTGGTTAAGCCGTTTTGGTAGATACCAATGTGAATTTAAATTTTTAATAAAATTGCCAACTATTAGAATAATAACAATAAACAAATAATTAAAGAATAAAGATATTATAGTCTCATAATATCTATGCAAATAACAATAATTAACAATTATGTTGTTTTTACTAATTTGGGGTTTCATATTATCAGCTTAAATCTTGATATGAAAAAGAAAACCGTCAAATTCATATTGTTATCACATTTCGATACAATTCAAAAATAAATAAATAATGACCAAAAATTTTGAATTTTTTTTTTTATTTGATTTTATACATTATTTTTACTTACCTACTACTTAAATAAAAATAAAAATGTGCACATATAATGTGTAATAAAATTATACTAATTATAGACAAATTAATTATTATGTCTATATATGAGTAATATAATATACATAATAATATTGTATTTCATATATATTATTATAGGTACCTAGCATAGACCTATTAAGATTTCTTAATAGGTCTATGGTACCTAGGTATATCGTATATATATTTATAGGTTAGTAGGTAGGTAGGTACCTCGTACCTAACTATTACACTGCGGGGCCTATATTAAAACATTGTGTGCAGTACCTATAACGATGTAATAGAGTTAGACACAAGTTATATAAAATATTAAAATTACAGCATTAAAAATAATTTAGTATTATGGATTCGTGCAGACGTGTAGTTGATCTCATCTGTTGCAGTAGCGGTGGCCTATTGGTGATTGCTTTTATTATAATACATTTATATATATAGCCATATAGGTAGGTATATCGCATATATACATACATACACTGATGCACTTTGCACTCTGCAGCATTTGTATAGTATCGTAACTTATAATACCTATATATATTATGCTTTACTGAATCACGGTCATTTTGCTTTTAATTGATATCCGAGAAGTCTTAATAAATATCTGAACGGCCTTCGGGTACCATTTATAATAAATCAACGTTGCGCCCAGCTTTGGCCCCTTGTGCGGAAACTTCCAAACCACCAAAATCTTCTAGAAAATAAAAAATACCTCTCATTGAACAGACAAAATTAAGCCTAATACTTTAAGATGTACAATAATAAAATAATATACCTAAATACAGATAAATTATCTAAGATAAGTCAAACTTAGATTTAGCCTTCCCCTATCATTTTTTACAGTTTTAAATGTTTTGAATTTTAATAGTTATATATGTAATTTTATACAATTATACTTATAGGTATCTATAAATAATATTAGGTACATCATTACTTATTAGTTATTAGTTATTACCTATAATAGGTAATATATATATAACTTACACTTACTACAATACCTACACTTCTATTAAAATTACCAATATTAATATACCACCTGACCACCACATGATCCATTGAATATTATTTTATAATAAATCATAATGATTGATTTGCTAATGACAATAGTTGGATAATTATAGCTAATATTTAAATAGGTAAACTATAAATACATTTATATTTCAGGAGAAATTATAACAATAATCCCTAGATTAAAACTCAAATGTTATAACTTATTACTTATTAATCAGTAAGAATAGTAAAAACTAAATAATATTATAATCTGATTGTTAGGTAGTTATAGATATTCCACAAAATATAGCAATAATTTATTTTGTCATAATACATTTTTATATTGGCTATAATAAAAAAAAATAAGATAATTGTATCTGCAGAACTGAGAATGAACTTAAAATGACTATAAAAATAAACTGTGCATATGTATTTTTTAGATTTTTTGGTAACATAGGTATAATTAACTACTTATACGTGGAATCTTGCTTTAAATTTGCAATCCTTAGTTATAAAAGTTGAACATTTTATACATTTTTATCTTTTTTTTTTTTTTAAATATGACTTTATTTTGAAATATTACAATCTATACAGGGGTGTACAATAAGTAATAACACGGACTAAGATAGTCTTAGTCTATCTTAGTCCGTGGTAATAATTATGGTGATAAGAATGAAAAACTATGAACTAATGATGACATGGTAGGAAATCTCTCATTAGAGACACCTAGTGGCTTTACAAAAACATTTTAAACATTTTTATCTACAAAATAATTATTCAATTTTAAATTTGATAAATTTTGTCAAAATTCGATCTTTAAATGCTTATAAAAAAAAATTGTGCCTATGTATTTTTAATATCTTTCAACTGCTATTGTAACAATATATCAGGAGCCTTGTATTACATTTTTATACTTTTTGGCCCAACAGATAAAACTTTATTGATATACATAGAAAAAAAATAAAAAATTTAAATATGAAATTGTCCGTAAACATCTCAAAACAAGTCAAAATATTTTGAACATTTTATCAAGTATAAGAATTGATAATATAAACATTCAGTGAAATTTGCATGTATCTACAGTTATTCGTTTTTGAAGTACAACAAAATAAGAAAATCATTACATGAGAAATCGAGTGAATATCCAATGTAAAAATTTGAATTTCAAATGCTCATAAAAATTTTATTTGACTTTCTTAAAGACATTTTTTTTTATAAATCTAGATAATCATATAAGGAATCTTATATTACATTTTAAAATCTTAGATTTAAAAAGACAAATTTTTAAGAATTCTTAACTCAAAATAATTGACTAAGTGTAGTGTTTTTTCCATATTTTGTCAATTTTTGACTATATAATGATTATAATGATTATAAAAAAAACTGTGACTAAGGATTTTTAATATTGTTCAAATGTCATTGTGACAACATAGTAGGAGCCTTGTATTAAATTTTCAAGTATTTTAACTCAACAAATAAAGTTTTATTGACATCATAGAAAAAAAAAGTAATACAATTGGAAACTGAAAATGTCCCTAAACAGTTCAAAACAATGAAATCAACGAATGTTCGCGATCGTCTTTTAGTGCAGTGTGACATTTCAGAATTTGTGCAATTTTCATGTGCAGCCTTTTCAACATTTTTCCTATGACCAAAAAAAGTTCCTACATCCACCCCTGTGGGCTGTGGCCCTGTTTATGTTATATCCTAATTCATATAGACAAGTTTGCACAAGTACCTATATGGATAAACTATATACGTATTAGAATTTGTAATAAACCTTCAATATATAATATTATATTTAGAATTGAGTAAATAAAAACATATATTATTTAAGTATTTATCGTTATTTATTATTTACACTAAAATGTTAAAATTCTAAATCCTCTAGGTATATAGAGCAAAAATAATCACTTACTTTTAACTTGGTGTTTTTAAAATTGAATTGCTTAAATTTGATCGATTTTAATAACAACAACATTAACATGAATTCAATAAACATTATAATATCAACTATTATACGTATAATAACATAAGTGCTAGAATAACATAAAATGGAAACTATGTGTTGAAACTTAAATTAATACTGCATGGTATACAGTTTAGGTAGTATTATTATAGATCGCACTCGGTAAGGTAACGATATAAATGTATAATTTATTTCATATTTGATTGCTGATTATAGCTTAAAATTCAATATACCCGCCCGTTACTTGATAAGTTCATTTAAGTTCAGCGATAAAGACAACGATTATAGTTAATTTTCATCAAAAAACGCATAACTTTTATATTTCATTTCTTAAAAATTGTTATAGTACCTACCAACATTTATGTATTAATATTATTCAACACATTATATAAGAATAACGGTGGAATAATATATTACCTACATACCTACATTATAATTTATATTTATGTACAGTACTGTATTGGTAAATAAATTTATGGGTATACGCACCTAAATGTAGTTGAATATACGAATATACATATATATATATATATATATATATTATATACCTATATGGCTATATGTATATAACTTCTTTAAACAATTTTCAAGCTCCACTCTAAAAATCATTACACTTAATATTTAATAATCTTTCATTTCTTTATTAGAACCATAAGCTTTCATATGTATTATGTATATGCAGTATTGCAGTGGCGTACATGGGGGTCAGTGGTCACCAAATATTCACCACCCCACCCCGAAATTAATTCTTATATACTCCACTGTGTCTGTGTGTAATATTATGTACCAAGTATCAGTATCTAACGTATTATTTTTTTTAATTAATTAAATTCATCAATATCATAAAGAATACAACTTTTTGATATCAAACTTAAAAAAAATTGTATAGTAAAATAATGGACTATAGGTACTAATAAAATTATAAACAACTTTAGATAATATGCAGTATTTATTAATCTATATTATCTATTAATCTATTTTAATAACATTTCAAAATTTAAATATTATTATAAATCATTTTAACGGCAGTTTCCGATCATCTTCGCAAGAACCAGAAGTCGGGTAAAATTTAATCGAACTTCATGCGGGTACGGGGCTATTTTTGAACAGTGTACTTAATGTCATAATAAAATATTATTGTATTAATTTGTTTATTAATTATTATTATTATTATTTTTAACTTTTGTTTGGTGATAATATGACTGAATTGTCTGTCATAAATTGGAAGCGTGCGAATACCCATAAAAGACTAATTTTTTTAAAGGTATACCTACTCATAAATCCATAAATAGGGATCCTGGTATATACGACATATACCCGCGTATACCCTCCAATACACCACTGAATTAGTGTACATTCGAAATATGTTCGTTTAAATTAGACGTTCCATAAATGTATGCTAAGTGCTAACATATTGAAATCATTTAATGAAAGGTTTTGAACTTTAACTGGAAAATTAAATAAAACATCTATACTTGTATACCCAGGTAAGTTAAATTGGTACACTTTCAAATATATTCTTTTGTGGTATTTGTAGGTATTCATTCTGAAAATAATAAAAATATAAAATATAACAATATACAGCGTGATTCACCAAGCATTGTTCAACTCAACCAGGTCCATCCATTTTTCCTTAAATAATGAATTTATTCAAATTCTTGAATTTTGTTGTTCTACTCATAGGCGTGTTTACGGGTGTTGCTGGGTATGCTATAGCAACACCTGAACTTTTGTTAGATGATTTATCATATATGATAAAAATATCAATATGATGTATCCAATTTTAAAATTAATCGTGAAAGTAAGTGCAAATCTTCAGGCTAAACTTAATTTGTTATCAGCTATTTCATTAATTACTTCATTGAATACTACACTTCAAAACTTTCGGTCAGATGACTCATTTTTTAACAATTTATACAAAGAAACCGTTCAGTCATGTACTTTGGAAAATATAAGTATTCCAGAAGTCCGTAAAAGAAAAGTCTCATGTCTGTTGGATAGTAAAAATAGCTCATCTCAAATATTTCATGAAACTATGGAACAGGAAATAAAAATTAACTGTTTTAATGTAGCACTTGATAATATGATAAGTGGGCTAAATGATAGGTTTAGTCAAGAAACTTTAGGTATTATTTCTTCTGTCGGTAATGTTTTGCAACTTAGTCCAACAGTTGACAATATTAAACTACTCAATAAAGTATTTACAATTGACATGGATAAACTAGAACAAGAAATTAAACTTCTTAAAGGATTTACTGACATTCCTTATGGATCTTCTACAACAAATATTGATCAATGGTTAGATTGGTTAAAGCAGTTAGATCGAAAAAACCATTTTTCACATTTTTATGATGTTTTAATGAAATTTTTGGTCATTCCAGTCACGTCATGTTCTTGTGAAAGGTCATTTTCTAAACTCTCTATTGTCAAGTCAAAACTTCGCAATACTATGACACAAAATAGACTTGAAGCGTTATTACTGATGTTTGTCGAGCAAGAACTATTATCAGAACTTGACTATGATAATATAATTGATGAGTTCAAAAATATCATTCCTCACAACAGACGTTTGATATTGTAATATTGTATTATTTTATATTTTTAATGTATAATTTTCTTTTTTTTATATGTTTGATTTAATTAGTTTATTTAATATTTTTAATTATTTATAATGTAAGAAATATATAAATTACCATTTACTACTCTGTAAAAATATCTAATTGATAAAATAAACAACTCATTAAATAAAATTTTTAATTTTTGGAACTTTTTAACTTTTGTGACATTTTAGCAACACTTGACAAGAAAGTCTGGCCACGCCTATGGTTCTACTTAAGGAGAGTCCTGTACTCCTGTAACCATACATCCTTCTGTTTTTAAAATGAGAACCCCCCTTTTATCTGGAAATTATTTAGTGGGTAATTTTTTTGAAAATGTTGGTGTACCTATAGTCTATACTCTATACCTAATTCGGTACCTACCTAATTCGAATGAGCAGTTTCTATGTTTCTTTGTTATTAAAATGTTTGAACTAAAGACTAACTAGTCCTTAAAATAGTTTTACAAAAATATAAAGTAGGTATACTTAATAAATAATAGGTATTGGAACTAGCGTCTAGCATTATTTTATTATACTTCGTCCATTTCCACAAATAAATTATTAATGTTGATAGATTAATATAAAGTAGGTACCTAACTACTACAATTTTCAAATCCCTATAGCCCCCAAATTATCTTATATTCTTATAAGTAAATTTAAAAATTCCAAAAATCAAAATTTAAATAAATGTTCATAAATATGGATCTATTTGATTAATCAATCAATAAAAACCCATTTAATACAATTATAATGAAGTGTGCCATCTTACCCAGATTTAACCAATGTAGATCTACAATTATTATTATTATATTATATAATATATATTATTGACAATGTTAATACAAATTATATTTATATAAGTACATTAAACTTAAATTAATATAAATTAAATATATCTAAATAATAGACCTATCAATATTATTTGTCATCTTTATTACCTACCTATGTATGAAACATTTTTTTTTTATTATTTAGGTACATGTTACATAGTTTAATTGTAAAAACTATAAGTAGAAATGTAGAATGTAGATATGTGTATAACCACAGGATAAATCAAATCTATTTAATCTACCCTATGATACAAGTATACAACCACGTCATGGTGGAAATTGTTTTTTTTTTTGGGGGGGGGAGGTTGGATGCGTTATGGTAATCAATAACATAAAACAAAAATTAAAATATTATTATGTAAGATTATTATCAATCTCATAGGTTTTTAATATTGATATTTTAATTTTAAAGCGAGTTATGAATATTTTAAGATGTACAGACAATTTACAATTTTAAAATACTCATAACTCGCTTTAAAATGTAAATATAATAAAAATCCTATGAGGTTGCCTAGATCATGATCTTACCTTTAAATTTTATAAGAAGTCAATTCAATTCACTATAATTTTTAAACTAAGGGACTAACGGAGCTAAACGTGATCTGTTGAGGGTAAAATTTTCAATGTTACCTACGTAGTTGTAAGACTGAGACAACATATGCTGGTACCACTTCTTCTTAAGCGGATAAAAAGAGGGTAGGTACTGAAATATATGCTGTGCATCATCATGGTTTATAAAATATGTTCACCACCTCAAATTAAACGTCTTCAAGGTGCCAATATTCATCAGTCATAACTCATAACATATTAATATAATGGAATAGCTTATATTATAAAACGTAGAACGTCCACAACCACTGATAGTATAGTATACTAATACTATATAACATTAAACATAAGAATACACCATAAGAATATCTGATACGATCAATTATTATCGCAATTAATATAAATTTGATTTTATCAAAAGCGTATAGGCCTTACGCTCAATCTCAACAAGTGCTATAGTATGACATTCCATAGAAATTAGAAAGCGTATACCTATTATCTTCCTTTATTCCCTCAATGGCTCCCTTCTCGAACGTGTTTCTTCTGTCAAAGACCTTGGTATCTACCTAGCTCCATCTCTTTCTTTAGAACAGCATATTAATATAACAGTTGGTAGAGCCTTAAAAGTCCTGGGTTTCATGAAGCGCAACACTAGCCTTTTCACGTCCTCCACTTGTCTTCGTTCCATCTATTTCTCTCTTGTCCGCTCTATTTTGGAATATGGAATTGGTATATGGCATCCATATTTGGCTAAAGACCAATTACGTTTGGAGCGAGTTCAAAACCGATTCCTCTCATACGCTCAGGGGCGGAACTAGGGGGGTGAAGCCGGGGATTGATCCCCGGGCGTAAAATTTTAGTGGGCGTAATTTTTCTTTAGTTCTTTATTTAATGCTTGGTGATAGAAGTTAAGAAAACATTTTTATTTCACATTATTTGTTTATCATGTTGTAGTGATGACGTTGGAATTAATGAAAAAAAAAAATAAAGTTAATAGTAAGATTATGAATAGATTCGTATTAGTATACTAAGTATATACTGGTATACTGGCATTAGCATACCTACTGCAAGCATATACAACTAATCAGGGGTGGATCTGAAGCTTGGTTAAAGGGGGGGGGGGCGAATTTTGAATAGGAATATCCATGAGTAATATACAAGTACGATGAGTATGGTCAAACCTGGTGGGTGGAGGGGGTCACCACCAACAGAAATCCGTATATCAATCCGGATCAAATTGTATAATCCGTATACTATAAAATTATCAGTATACATTTTTTCAACCCCTCCCCCCACCAAGAAAAAGCATTTCCTACTGTTGCCCCGGCAATGAAGACTTGACCGTAGTTCAAGTAATTTATGGAAAAAGAAGTACAACACTTAAAATTAATTGTAGGTACCTTTATTTGTTTTAAACAGCTATAACAATATATTGTTCAAAAATAGGTATAATTATAATAATAATTGTACGTTTCTTTTTTTTTTTCATTTGCAAATCTATTAATTACTTCTTCTATGTTTACAATAATATCTTTATGCGTGTGCAATAAAGCCAAGCCAGTCAGCCTATGTTCGCTCATTCGCGATCTCAACCATGTTTTTAATCTACAAATTAAAAACAATAAGAAATAAGCAAACATGCAAAGCATTTCGGAATTTAGATGCAGATATTTTCATCTTAAATTAAAAAGCAAAATTTTATTTTTATCATTAGTTATCTGACCTGCGCAAAGTGGAAAAACTGCGTTCAGCGGAAGCAGTACTAATTGGCAAACTAGCAAGTATAGAAATCAAGGATTTAATTGTTGGGAAGATTATCCTACAACATGCATCCAAAGTATCAAAAACATTTTTTGGTAATATATCACCTAAAGCGGAATGAAAATTGTAATTCTGAAATAGTCTTCACAATTATTTATGTTATTCGGATTTGATCTATTTTTTTGATGAGCTGACACCCTAGGCATTTTCAAATGAATGTCCAATTCATCCATCAACATTTTGCATTCATTATAAATAAATAATCACACTATCACAGATAATTTCTATGTATAAATCATAGATATATTATATTATTAATAATATAAATCCCACCAAAAACATATATGTAAAATGAGAGCCAAGTTCAATACTATAATATATGCCTTGGTTGTTGACTTCAGCGACAAAAGAAGTGAGATCTAAATGGGTGCCAAGTTAGGATAGTATATTGAAGCCTAAGGTGTGACTTGGCTACTTTTCATATACGAATTATTATAAGTACCTACTAAAACAGTAATGGAAGAGTGAAGATGATTTTCCGAAGAATAAAATAAGAACTCAAAGCTTTAGAACTTGCAAATGCTATAATATATAATTCGTAGCCAAGTCAGACCTTAGGCTTCAATATATTATCCTAACTTGGCACCCATTTAGATCTCACTTCTTTTGTCGCTGAAGTCAACAACCAAGGCATATATTATAGTATTGAACTTGGCTCTCATTTTACATATATGTTTTTGGTGGGATATCATTACTTTTTGTATGTAAATTATTGTAACCTAACCTAACCTAGCCATGACGTATTCTATAAATAAAGTTTATTACTATATAATATAATTCAGTTACTAATATTAATAATAATATTTATTATAAAATATTTTCCGTTGTATACAGAGTATAAAATATATGTAAAATTAATATACAATTATTTTAACTCTTTTTGAGTATATTTTTAATTATCATAATTTTATTGACTGTAGTTTCTACTGTTGGGTGGATAATTCATAATTTGTAAGAATAATTATTTAATTATTTTAATTGTAATATTTAAAAAAAATAATATTAATTACATACATAGATAGAAAAAAAAGTATGTTGCTGCGCGCGGGTCGACAATATCGACACATATTTGGCTAGTCGTATTTTTGGAGCGGCGATACGGGAAAGGTTATTTAAGTCAACATTACATTAAATTAGAGGCAATTCATTAATAAATTGAAAAATTAAACATAATAGATAAAATAATTGCAAAATTATAATAAAATCAATTGATTAAAAAATTAAAAACTAAAAAAATTAAAATTAAAAATTAAAAAATTTTAAATTAAAAATTTTCAAGTTTCTGATTTTTTCCTTTGTATTTACCTAACTACCTATCTGTATGCCAAATTTGAACTATCTAGGTCATCTGGAACTGGGTTAGAATTTTGATCTATAGGTAAGTCAGTGATAAAAATGACGATTTTCGGATGTTAATATCTAAATAACGGTTTGAAGTGTGTTTATGAAATTTAGAGCACATATGTATCTCGTTAGTCTCAATATATGAGCCAAATTTGACATGTTTATGTGGAATAGTTTTTGAGTTATGAAGGGGTCAAAAGTGGCTCCAAATGGTTCGTGTAATATTACACACGGTGCTGCTCGCCAGTTCTGTTAGCTAGAACTTGGCTTGACACGCTACCGCGTGTCTAGATCTATGGTATAAATACTATAAATAAATATGTCATTGTCTGATAAAGTTGTTATCATTGTTATCATGAAACATAAAGAGAAAAAAAAAATAATAATTAATAATTATTAATTTATAAAAATGTATTGTGTAATGTGTAAATCTATAAATCGAAAATATTAAATAAATCTGTAATAAAAAAAAAGCCCAAGGGGGGGGGGGGGGGGGTGATCGCCAAGTCGCCCCCCCATAGATCCGCCACTGCAACTAATATACTATAATTTATTATTAAGATTCGATTATTTAAGAGTGAAAATGTAACTATTAACTATACCTAGGCTGAGTAAAATAACTGTAATAAGATTATCAATCAACATACGATACGCATATTATATCTGTATATTAAAAATGATGTTAATATATTATAGTTTATAATATTATATATTATAATATTTACCAAGATAGTTATACATTTGTTTATGTTTAAAAAAAAGATTTGATTTTAAATATTTACTTTTTCATTTTTTCTATTATAAATTGTTTAATTAAATACAATTTTTTACTGGCCTAAATTGTGTACCCTAATCAGAATAAAAGATTTTATATTTTACCATAAAAATCTATTATAATTGAAGGCTGAGGCCTGAGGCGCATAGAACCAAAACAGCAAAAGTGTTTACAATTTTTATACAGGATAGGTAGGTAATTAAAGTTTTGATTATTTTTCAACATTTATATATGTATAACTAATATTATTATTATTTCTAATAATAAATACAATTAAGTAAAAAATACAGTATTTCCAGTAATTAAAAATGTATCAACAATATGTTGACTAAGTTTTTAAATTTAAAGTGTTTTTGGTGTGATAGTTTATTAGTATAAACTTGGTTACACCACAGTCCACAGAATATATTAATTATTATATATTATTATGTGTTTAAAAGTTAATCAGTATGTTTGTAATTTTAGTTCCAGTTATGATAAAACAATTGTAGGGAATGATATTGTATTTTCAATCTTGGTCCATGATTGGGCTTAATTTTAATATTTTCACCGGGCGTAAAAATTCTTAGTTCCGCCTCTGCATACGCTGCTTTTCTTCTCAAGATTGTTCTCAAGATTTATAATTTGAACAAAAAGTATATATAACTTATCAGGAAGTTAGGTTATTGCTTCTGGGCTGACAAGTTATTTTATTTATTTCATGTTATAAAAATAAAACATATTTATTAATTAATTGATAAATGATTCAAAGGATTACATTCATAAGACAATTAATATATATTTCGATTTAGAATTTTCAACATGCAAATATTTAATTAATTTGACAATATTAAATATCATAATAATATACCTTATAATACTTAATAATATTTTTCTTTTTAAGTATTTTATATTTACAATTTGAGTTTTACACAAATATTCTAAAACAATATTCAACTATCATCAGAACTTGCAGCATCTCCAATATCCAGATCATCTATTTCTTCAAATAATGATTCATCAACTTTCACCGAATCTCCTAAAAAATAAAGTGTATAAGTCATTTCAATTTTTGGTAATATGCATAATATTATATCAATATTATTATTGGGATACTCTTGATTAGCTATAAAATTGAATAAGACATTTGACAAGAAGTGCCAAAAACCGATTTGCTAGTTATGTACTTATTCTTGTTTATGCCTAATCACATAATATAAATTTCCTATAGTGGATAAACAAATATATTGTTCTGTTTGTTCCCATTACTTCTACAGTTTTAATAAACTTAAGCTTTATTAAACTTTATCTAAGTACAGAAGGTTATATATGGGAATTAATCTTATGTTTACTTTTTAAATGATATAACATAAGAATTTAATATTACAAAAATATTTTTAGTGTGGACCTCAAGTCCACCAGAATAATTTGTTTTAATTATTTTTAAAGATGAACCAACCTTCTTCTAAGAATTTTAAGTCTGATTCATTAAGTGATTTATCAGTCATAAATAATTCACGTCCAGTAAGTTTCTTATTTTTTTCCTCTTCATTTCGTTTCTTTAAAACTCCCATGTCTTCTTCAAAGTTGAACTTCCACCGTAAAAATGATTCAACTGTAACTTTGGTGCCTTCGAAACGTTTCTAAAGGAAAATAAAAGTATTTTTAAAGTTGATAGAAATAATTTTAGAGTATATAGTTACAAAATATTAAATAATACAATCAATACTAACTAATTCGGCTTCCATTTCTTTTTCGCGTCTTTTATCATCATCGTCTATTTTTCTTTGTTTTTCACTATCTGAATAGTTATTCATCCATTCTTGTGCTGCCGATACCAGAGTAAATATCATCACCATCCCAACATTATCCTGAGCCTTAAAAATAATTTATAAATTAACAATTGATTTATGTTATTATATTATATTTATTACTTGTTGTATTAAATACTCTTTTAGTTCGTCTTCTTGTTCTTCAAAACCAACAACATCTTCAATTTCTACAATGGGTGGATCATCGGGATATTTTTCAACATACTCAAATTTTAAACAACATGACAGGCCAATATCATGCTGAACACTATCGAACTCGTCTGATTTAACTGGTATTTCGAATTGGTAATAAGGATCTGAACCTGAAACTTAAATAAAAATATAGGTATTAACCATAATTTAAAAACAGTTGGTTCTAAAATAAATGTACACTTTCATTAACCTAATATGCTTACTTATCATTTCACCACAGTATATGGAGTCCAATGCATCGATTTCGTTCTGTTGCTCTTCTTTATAGTCCATCTTCTCACTATAACCATCAAAATTAAACTGATCTATTTAAATATTTGAAGTATTAATAAGTCCTTAGTTTACTATAAAAAAAAAAATAATAAGTAATATTACTTTATTATAAACGTGACTATTTAGATACTATCTACACATGTCACATTGTGTAATTTGTTATCATTTTTATCAGCGTTTAATATTTATTTTATGCTTAAATGTGATAACAGTCGGCACTAGTTTCGCAGAATTTGTTGGTCTTTGGCAAGGTTTATAGATTATACAGGTTGCCTCATAGTCATGTAAACAAAACGTTTCCCCCCGTACCGTTCCTCGTCTACTGACGTCATTGCCGGAACAATCGACTGCCGTAGTGCGGTACAATGTATCATTTACTTATTTTCAACAGTATAATAATTAATAAAATCATTTTTTACATACTTTCTTTTGATTTTGATAACTTAATTATTAAGGAATTATTCATTTGATTTACCAGCTGTTTAATTATATAATAAATAATAATTATCGAATATAATATATTTATTTTTAATACAGTGTAAAATCAGTAACTCGAAGCTCACGGCCCACTGGGGGAAAAAAGTCCGAATTATTAAAAATTTCGAGTTATCAAAACCTTAATGTGTTATTATGTTACTTGAAGGGGAATTTTATTTGTTTGAGATGTCGAGAATTTCTAGTTATTAAGGTTCAAGTTACCTATTGAGAGTACACTGTATATCACAAATAGCTCCTACTATTTAACTAACAGCTATGTTCAGCATGCAATAGGTATATCATTTGGTAGTAAAATAATATGGTAAAAATACTTACAGAAGTTAGTAAAACTACAAAAAGTTCAAACATAATATGTCGTAGGTACCTATTTTGTATTTTTACATGATAAATAAAATTTAACAAAACTAAAATTTGATAAAAACGATTGATCTATTTTTTCTTTCAACAAATATTAATTTGAAGATAGAAAAATCAACTTTCTAAAAAATATTTTACACTTATCTTGCATAATACCAATTGTAATTGACCAATAAATAAAAATGTTGTGCAGGTACAATTAGAAAACTATCAATAAATAAATAAAGACGACAACCAAGAAACCAATCTGCAAGTTGTGTACATACATTTTTAATATTCTTTCATATAAATACAAATATTACAATATAATATAATTCATAATATAATAATATTATATAATAAAATAATAATAATATAATTATTAGTGAATCACTCTGTATAAATTTTCAAGTCATAAGTTTTCTCAATTTTTGTAGTTCTTGTAACTGTAACTTTGCTTTTCTTTTTGAAGCTAAAATTTGATGATTTTTATTTGCATATTTCATACGAATAAAGATCCTTTGCCTTACAAATGTATGTATAACTGGTCTATACTTTTCTTCAATATCCATTCTATTCATTATTTTATGTAAAAGTTGTTTTACTACACCTGGTCCTTTAGGGATTTTCTGCTTGGTAATTTTTTTAAAAACTCTTTCAGCTCTAAAAATGTGTTTTTTAAAGTTATTACTAGGGACTATTAGGCCACCATATGATAAATAATCAATCCACGAAGGAAGTAGATAGTCATGTTCATGGAACTCATGATTATTGTATATTATACTACTCTAAATTATAAAATTAATATAATTAATCAGCAATTACGTCTAAATTATAGAAATTAAGCATAACGTTTACGCATAAAACATGTTTTTTGCGGTGTGTGCCGGTGTTCGTGTTCCGGCAGTGACGTCAGGAGCGTTATTCCCCCCACTCTCATTTTTTCGTAAATTCAGAAGTGAGGCAACCTGTATTATCTATAAACCTTGGGTCTTTGGGGCCATGTTCGTGGATAAGACAATATTATTATCTATTCTGTGATAAAACTGTGATTATAGTGATAATAATTTTATTAAAGAATCAGGAATCAGGATTATGGAATTGGGACTTGCCCATTAGGGAAATTGAAAATTGAATTGTTGAAACTTGAAGTATGCGTTTTATGGGAGTGTAGAAGACTTGAAGTATTTCTGTCGTTCCTGGTTCTGAATTTTTTTTCATTTTGTTGACCAAGAACATTAGTATTTTATTGTATTTTTATTGAATACAATATAACTTTATAAAGGTTTAAATTTAGAAGAATGTATTAAAGAGGTTTTACACAAAATATAGAATTACTATAATTAAATACTATTACGAAGATTATTATTATGTCACGAATAAGTACAAGTTTCAAAGATGTAACTAAAAAGACTTCATATTTTATTACAACACCAATATTTTACGTAAATGCAAGTAAGGATTTATATTTCATACATGGTTTATAATAGTTCTATATATTTTGTTTATTGTATGAGTATTAATTATTAATAAATATTATTATTATTTAATTGTAATTAGCAAAAGGTATTTGGCTTGTCAGATGAATAAGAGATGATAAGATACTAGCCTATAAGTGTTACATTACTAAAATACATTGAATTGAATACTGAACACTCATGTATTTACTCATATAGTCACATACCAACATTTTCTGATGATTTAGACCCATTAAATAAACTTTTATTTTTAATGTTGTCATTAAAGTTTGAACTGCATACAGGCTTAGCCCTTAGGTCCTTATTCTCCAACACAATGTTTCTTAAACATTTTGAGATCACGGAACCCTAAACCACAACATTTTTTTTATGTGGAACGTCTATGGACATTTTCTCCAAAAAGGAGGGTAGAGTAGAAAAGTACAAAACAATAAAACATACAATTTTTTATTCCTGTGAAGATATGACGCATTTTCAAGAAATGGAAATTTTCACATTTACATCATTTGTAGTTGGCTTTGTCGTATTGGTTCCTAAGCAGTAATATTTTCACTCATTTTTGAATTTAAAAAAAAAAGCTGCTCCAAAACGTAATTTACCTATGTATTCTGTCTTTATATTTCTAAAAAAAATCACTTGTTGTATTTATATTTATAAAAAAATTGTATATTACCATAAATATCTACAAAATGCATATTCTTACAATTTTATAACACTTTAAAAACAAAGCACTCAGAATCTAAAAATAAAAAAACACTATAATCTAATAGGTACTGAAAAAATGTATTCAACAAATTATTTAAGATTGAACAATTATTTTCATTTTTTTTTTTCAATAAAACTGCTATAGCTCTACCAGTATGCTGAATAACAACTATTATTTATTTCTATACAATTTTAAAATATATATGTATTAATATATAGATGTACTTTTTATTTTAGGTCCACACATTGGGCATCTATACAGTGCTTTAATTGCTGATGCTTCTGCAAGATTTCAAAAATTACTTAACCCAAGTTTAAATATTATTTTTAGTACTGGTACTGATGAACATGGATTAAAGGTACAAAAAGCCGCTGAAAATTGTAAAATATCTGTGGAAAACTATTGTACAAAAATTTCAAGTAGTTATCAAAGTACATTTGATAAATTTGATATTAGTCATACATCTTTCATACGAACAACAGCGGAAAACCACAAAAACTGTGTACATTATTTTTGGAGTAAATTACAACCACATATTAGAAAAGGAAAGTATTCTGGTTGGTATTGTACAGCTGATGAAACTTTTTTGTCACAAGATCAAATTGAATTAGTTAATAATGTACGTGTTAGTAAAGAATCAGGAAGACAAGTTGAGTGGGCTGAAGAAGACAATTATAAATTTGACCTACGTCCTTTCAAACATGATCTTCAATGTTGGTTGAGTAAACCAGACAGAATTAAACCGAAGGTGTTCCATGAAATACTGAATAGAGAGGTAAATGATTTATATGATATATCATTGTCAAGACCAAAAAGTCGGGTCAGTTGGGGTATTCCAGTACCAAGAGATGATACACAGACTGTATATGTATGGTTAGATGCTCTTGTTAATTATTTAACTGTTTCCGGATATCCAGACAGCAAAATTTGGCCTCCAAATGTCCAAGTATGCGGTAAAGATATTTTGAAATTCCATGGAATATTATGGCCTATATTCTTAATAGGTGCAGGTTTAGAACTCCCAAAACAAATTTTTGTACATTCTCATTGGAAAGTTAACGATGAAAAAATGTCTAAAACCAAAGGAAATGTAGTAGATCCAATAAATGCTGGTTGCCAGTATACTGAATCTGGTTTAAGATATTTTTTACTTAGAGAAGGTACAGCTCACAGTGATGGTAACTATAGTGATCTGAAAATTAAAAGAATATTAAACGCTGAATTAGCAGACACATTGGGTAACCTACTGAACCGTTGCTGTGGAAAAGCCATCAACCCAAATCTCAGTTACCCAAAGTTAGATTTATTACAGATTGAAAGGTTATCGGCTGATTCATATTTCATTGAACTAAATAAAAAATTAGAGGTTCTGGCAGATATAGTTGGAAGTCATTATGAAGAATTAAATTTTTACAAAGGTATAGATGAAATAATAGCCACATTACAGTGTTGCAATCGATTTTTTGAGTATAATAAACCATGGGAATTGGCTAAACAAGATGTCAATAAATTGGAATGTATACTACATATAACTATGGAGACTTTAAGAATTGCTGGGTTAGCTTTACAGCCAATTATACCTGTACTAGCTGATCAATTATTAAATAAGTTAAACATAAATAATAGAGATTGGAATCAAATGATGCCGAAGTGGAAAGATGAAAACAGAATCGTTAATCCAACAAACTTAAAAAAAGATAATATTGTGTTGTTTAAAAAGTTGTTTATAAACTAATTTAGTTTTCATTATTCTATTAGTTTAATGATTTATTTACCTAGATACAAGTTTCTAAATAGTCTATTGAAATAAAATATGAAATTATATATTTATGAATAATGTATTTTAATTTAAGTTATTATAATTATCGGATTCACCTACATAACATTATGTAAAAAAAAAATTTTCTTTGTATACATTGTGCAGTGTTAAGATAAGCTTAACACAAAATACATGGCCAAATTCGCAAATTTGAAATTATTGTGTCAGTCTGATGGCTGAGATTTAATATATTTACCTAATGGTATTCATTTGTTATTTTGGTTTAGTGTATGTGGGGTAAACGAAGGGCCTATGACCCATGGTAAACTTTGTTAAAGTTTGTAAAATAATTTATGATTTTAAAACTAAAAAGGTGGGCAAGTGGGTATTGTTCTGCTGTACATTAGGTGTCATGTGGGATACTGTAATGGATCATGGATGTATTAAAATTGAATTGAATTATATCATTGTATACAAAAAACGATTCTGAGCAAAGACTGTATGTTACTTAGTGTAGGTATAGCATTGTACATCGTAATATTTTATTCAACAGGTAGTTGTGCACAAATTTCCACACCACCTCTTGCTCAAAAACTACAACATTGGAATAATGAAGTCCGTTTAAGTGCATGAGGTATTTTACACATGGCGCATTTTTTTTATTGTGGTATCCCCGTTAAGGCCTAATCCACAAGTACAAATAAAGTATCAATTTTATCCACACTTTCACCAAAAAGTAATTTACTGTTAATGATCATTAGACAATGATGGATACGTTTTTGTTATTAATGTACCTATATAAGATTTGTTTAATAGGCAGGTTAAGACAAATTACTGTCACGGTTAACAATAATTAGAAAAGTAATGATGGTAAAATTTGCAAAAGTCTGTTCATGATTGGATTGAGTATTATGGAATTTGATGATGCAGCTTGAGTTATTTTTATAAGGTGAATTGGTGGATTTAATTTTAAATCAATAGGAAATATTATAAAACTTTAATTATTTAAATTATTAAACGCACTCATTAGTGAATTTTAATTCAAAATAATTTATTTTAAAAAGCACTGTTAGTTTTTTCTGCCAACACAGAAAGTTATAAGTTAAACGGGTATTCATTATTAGGAATTTTTTTTAATACTTACATATTATGGAATTGGTGAAAAATGTAACAGTAACAATAAACCAACAACAGAATAGTGGCAATAAATATATATAATAGGTACCATTCAAGTAATTTTAAATAAATTAAATTGACACTTCATTTGCATTTAAACTGTTGTAAAGTAGAGGCCTGTAAAATTATGTAGGTATATTATAATTTATAAGTTATAACTTTATAGTGCTCGGAAGTTATAAGAGCTAAAAAAGGTAAAATATACATGTTAAAAATTGTATAATATGCATGAAACAATGCCAAATATGCTAAATAGTTTGATAAATTCATAAAAATGTATAACTCCAAGAAAGCCATTTTCTGGTGTACTAAAAAAAATGTAAAATATGGAAAAATAAATTTATAATAAGTATTTAAAATATGGCAAAAAACTGTATGGCATTTTGAGTTTTTGACACTTTATTAACTGAAAAAAATATATTTTAAAAGATAGTACATAGGAATATAGGCGCGATAGAGATTAAATGTGCTTCGCACCGTTGTCGTCTTAGATCATGTACAATTGACAATTGTAATTGTAGCCTGTAGGTTGTTGTTAAATGATTAATGAATAGGTAGTGGTAGTCGATTGAGCTGATAACAATAAATACCTACGACCTTCCTACATTAATATGGAGTTATATATTTAATATTATTATTAAAATACACAGTATCACAGCTTGAGAAAAAAAAAGATCAATTAATTTTTTGGAAAATATATTAATACGCGTATGAAGATCAAGAAATAATATGTACCTACTTTACTTTTCCCCTAAAATTGACGAAATATGCAAAACATGCATTTTAAATTTTCGATTTTTAAACTGACCATCGCATAGCTTTGATTTTTCTATATTAGTGCTACAAATCGAGAGCGGGGGACGGAGTGGCCGAGCGGTCTAAGGAGTCGGCTGCGACAAACTGTCGATAACTCGGTCATGGGCGGCATTTTTCTTCGGGCAAGTCACGGTGTCCAGAGAACAAGTGCCGCCATCCCCCACCCGGGCATGGCAGATACCTACGGGTGACCAATCAAAAATTCTGCCAAACCCAACACACGTGTTCCTCCCCCTACCGACATAAAAACCTACAAAACCATAAACAGCTAATGGCCATAGATGCCGGGCTTAAGATCAAAAAAAATTGAGAGCATATATAGAATAATATAAAACTCTACAACTTCCGAGCCCTAATTATAACATTTAAAATACTATAATCGTCACCAATTATTTTCATTTATATTATGTATTATTATGAAATATTTTTAAATCATTAATGTATTATTATTAATTTCATTCTCATTGAGAACTATACTCTTTTCAGAATAAGAAGGAACCAGGCGGCCACGGACAAAATCGGTTTTGTTACGTAAATCTGGTGCGTTCTTATTCTGAAAAGAGTATAGGTACTAATAATGGGTAAAAAATAAAAAAATAAAAATGTTGTCATTCGTGCATTTTCTAATCATAGCCAGCGTGATGGGAGAGAGCAGTAAAATATGGACTTCCGTACGACCTTTTTTTTCTATGTGGTATCCACGATGTTACCGGAACTTCTAACGTACTTCGACAACTCCTGTACCTACGACAGGCAGTGTTGAATGTTGATTATTTTAAGTAAAGGAAAAACAAATTAATTAATTTACAACTTTACTTTTAAGTTCAAACACTCAATATTAAATCGAAAATTCAAAGAAATCAAAACAATAAAACTAATTGGATAGGTACCTAGTAGGTACCTACATTTAAAACCATTCACTGTTGTAATATTACGGTATAAATAAATACCTAAATAAATTCTATTCGATTAAACATTTACGCAGTGTATACAAAACAATATATTATTTTTTTTTGTTTAAAGGTTTACAGGATTCAACTGCTATGGTTATTAGCTGACATTGACAAAACAAAAAAAAATAAAAATAAAAAAAGGTGGGTAAGTGGATGTCGCTCTGCTGTATTGTAGGTTACAAGTGGGTCACTGTATAATGGATGGTATTAAATTTGAATTCAATGATACAATATCATTGTATAAGAAAAACGATTCTGAGCGAAGACGGTATGTCAGTCTAGGTTTAAGACAAATTATATACATATCTATGGTATTAAAAAAAAATTGACCTATAATAAATTCCAAATTAATCATATCACATTATCACAATATCCATTAGGTACTTATAACACGTTATACATCAACATCAATAACAAACCCTGATACTATCATTGATATATAATAGTACACTTTAGAAGTTTCAAGTAGGTACCCACGAATAATATTATATAATCACAACAAAATAACTAGGTTTTTTAATATGTAATTTCGTCCAAATTTGAACATAAAATTACTATAAAAATAAACTGTGATTGTATATTTTTTAGATTTTTTGGTAAGAGAATTAACTACTTACGTGGAATCTTGTTTTAAATTTTCAATCCTTAGCTATAAAAACTGAACATTTTATAATTTATTAATTACGATGATTAATAATTTTCGAGATTTTGAAAAATTCTGTCAAAATTCGATGTTTAAATGCTTATAAAAAAAAACTGTGCCTATGTATTTTTAATATTTTTCAACTGATATTGTAACAATATATCAGGAGCCTTGTATTAAATTTTTACACTTTTTGGCCCAACAGATAAAACTTTATTGATATTCATAGAAAAGAAAAATAAAAAAATTGAAAAATGAAAATATAAGTAAATAGCTCAAAAAGAGTCAAAATATTTTCAAAATTGTATGGTGTATAGGAAATGCTAATATAAACATTCAGTGAAATTTCCATGTATCTATAGTTATTCGTTTATGAATAACAACAAAATAAGGAAATCGCTACATGAGAAATCGAGTGAACATCCAATGTTGTAAAAATTTGAATTTCAAACGCTCATAAAAATTTAATTTGATTGTCCAGTAGAGATTTTTTTATTGATAAAGGTAGACAAACTTATGAGTAATCTTGTATTACATTTTCAAATCTTAGATTTAAAAAGAAAAATTTTTGCGAATTCTTAACTCAAAATAATTTGCTAATTTTCTTGATTTTTCCATATTTTGTCAATTTTTGAACTTTAAATCCTTATAAAAAAAAACTGTGACTAACGATTTTTAATATTTTTCATCTGCCTTTGAAACAATATACTAGGAGTCTTCGATTAAATTTTCAAGTTTTTTTAACCAACAAATAAAATTGTATTGATATTTCTAGAAAAAAAACTAAAAAAAAATGAAAAATGAAAATGTCCCTAAATGCCTAAACAGTTCAAAATAAATCAAAATATTTTGAAAATGTTATCGTGTATAGAAAATGCAAATATAAACAACCAGTGAAAATTTCATGTATTTACGGTCATTTGTTTTAAAGTTACACCAAAAACCAAATTCGATTTTGTCAAAAACCGATTTTGCGTAAAAATTCCCGTTTTTTCCTTAATTTTTATGTTGTTTTTCCCGGCGCTTGTAAAAACTATTGGGAATTTTAAATTTTGACCTCCCCAATGCACCAACGATATTCACTTTCCAATCGAACAAGATACTGAAGTCGAAAATCGAAGCATTATTTCGACTACTTATCGTGTACACAGACACAAAAATAAAAAAAAAACACACATCATTGTAAAATCAATACATTCATCGTTTCACTCAGAATCTAATAGAAATTACAATATTAGATTAAATTACAGTAATTATAGGTTAAAATGAAGATATTTAATTAAAGTTTACTTAAGCAAGTTTACATTTGTATATGAGCTTGATTTATATTTTATAAATAAGATTGTCTTTGGTGATGAACTGGATGGTTTTTTGGGTAGATTCTTCATTGAGGGCTTCTTTGATGTTGGGAGGGAGGTTGAGGAGTGTGCGAGTTGGCTCGTATATTGGGCATTCTTCGAAAATATGTCTTATAGTGATGCTAGTTTAGCATGTGTTGCATATAGGGGGTTGGTCTTTACTGATAAGGAACGAGTATTAGATTGTATCGTAATTTATTTGTTTTTTAAAGTAAAACTTAAATTCCTACCAGCGTCCAGAATTATAGGTGGGTACTTAAACGTTAAAATATGTGTATAAACAATATACATAATTGATATAATCATATTTATTTATGTCCTTCACATTTTTCATATTCAATGCATTCAAAAAAGTTTAAACCTAGATTAATATAATAATTAAAACTAAAATTAAATTAAAAATAATACTACAGGATTAATATTATACTAATTTTATTATTCTAGTTATGACTAAATATTTGTTGTTTTTAGGGTTATTTTTACAATCTACATTAAATCTTGTCACATTTTAACAGCTACAGTTAATTTACAAAATCATTTGTGATGTATTACCTTGGTGCAATAATTAGAAAATATCAATAAATCCCTCCAAAAGTGTAAGAGTTTTGTTCATTCTACGTCGTAACCGTATTCCACCCTCGCTAAATTTTAACAATATATCAATCCCTTATTAGAAGCCGACCGGCAAGTATCTTGGTGTGACGTTGGAGAAAATTATTATCTAAGCTTCAACAAGCCAAGCAATGATGTTCATGTTTCCAATTCTAAAGATGAAGTTGACATCACAGAAAAATTTTTTGAAACAGTACCTACACAATTCCGGCCTAAGGCTAGCTTCCGGAGCATTATTTAGATCCAGTGCAATTTCCAGCATACCTACTCAATATTTCATATACCTACGCCGTCTTTATGTCTAATGTGTAAACAAATTCCATGCTTTTAACAGGAAGACAGGCTTAGAGCAACCGCGCTATTAACTTCAAACTTTAGTTTTGGTTTTCTAGGGCCATCAGCCAATAAGAAGACACTATCTCCTCCGTGGATCATGAATGATGAATATGAATATAAACGTTGCATTTTTATTACCTACTGCCCAAAAGTGATACCCAGTCCACCATAATATATACTCACGGTCAAACACATCATTCGACACTGCCGTTTATAGGGACATCAGAGTCATCCTCGAAAGAACCGACAACATCCAAGAAGCATAGATCGGCTCCCGATCCAGATTGAAATCTGTGTCATTGTGATACTGGGGTCTGGATATCCGAGACCCGACCGACGGCTTCCACACTCTCACCACAATTATGAAAAGGGTGCTTGAGCACCTTTTTAAATACGTAGTAGCCGCCACTAACTAACCTACTTACCTACTGTACAGCAGAGCGACACACACTTACCCGCTTTTTTTATAGATGTACTTAGGTACCTGTAGATATCTGATTTAGGATATAGGAGGGTCATAAGACTTAATTATTATTTCTAATTACAGGCCTATCTCTTTACTAAAATATTCGAATCTATGTGTCGGATAAGATAACTATAATAATGGAACTAGACTTGACGATCAACCAGGTTTTAGATCCTCTAAATTCTAAAATCTAAATATACTACCAATTTACTAACATAGTAACATACTACAATATTCCATACCTAATTGATGCTTTTTCAGCTGGTTTACGCAATATGTAGGTACATTATTTATACTAATTTTGCTATAGCTTTCGATAAAGATCACACTATTCTTTTACATAAATTCAACTATATTGGCGTATGTGTCCACTTCAACGATGAATTGAGTACCTACCTATTTGAGTGTTAAATATCACAGAGTAGGTACTCAAATTATTTTATAAAGAATTTCGGTCAAAACCAATATTAGTTTCTTTAAGTGTACCTCAAGGTTCCCACCTACCACAATTTTATTCCTAATACATACCTATAGTATATACTAAATACATTACTTTTCTAAACAGTTTTGAGGTTATGTTTGCTAATTGCTTTGCTGATGCCTGATGATATTAAACTTTACCGTGTTGTAAATTGTTATAAGGATGCATCATTGCAAACTGATTTAAACACGCTTTTTAATTGGTGCAAAAAATTGAAATCGGTAAAAATACCAAAGGAAAAAAGAACAATTTTTAAAAATTTAAAATAAACCTATTAATTGATTATTACAAAAAAAATATTAAAATCAAATTTTTATTACCTATTAAGCACCAGTAATACCAAAGCTGGGCAAGTTAGTCATTTTTTTCAACTAGTTGAAGTTAAGTTACATAAATAAAAAAACTAACTAAGTTAGAATATAATAACTTATATAACGTTTCTGAAACTGTCCAAATTTCTAACTTAGTTAGTTGAAAGTTTTTGGTGAAAATAGTAACTTAAGTTAGAGTAGAAGTTAGAAGTTAGTTTTTTTTTATAGATTAAAAAACCTTTTTGTTGAAATATAAATAATAAGTTAGGTATCTAATTAAATTATTGATTAAAACTGAAAAATTGAATTAAACACCTAGTAATTTGATCAAAATGTTCAAAATAATAATTTCAATTAATTGGAAATTAATTGATATATCACTTATCACTGATAAAGTCACATAGTTATAAATACTAATAATTAATAATTTATTTGTGCCGATAATCTATATAGGCGTATATAGGCGTATAGCCATAATGTCAGGATTAAGGAAATAATTAAGGAAATATTTTGGAATTTTGGTATGAAAAAAAAAAAATAATAATAACTATAGTTAGTTTTTTTTTCTAACGAGTTAGATTAGACTATTTGCACATTAAATTCAACTAGTTAAGTTACAAAGTTAACATGAATTAAAACGAACTAGTTAAGTTAGAAAGTTACTTAAAAAGTAACTTACTAACTTAACTTTAACTGTCTAACTAGTTAATGCCCAGCTTTGAGTAATACTGCAAACCTACAAAAAACTAATAAGTCAAATTGTCTATACATTCGCATTAATGTTTCGTTATGTTTCGTCCCTATACAAAATATTTTATAAATCATTTGACATACCTACGAATACATTCAAATATAACAAAAAAGTTTAAAAAAATTAATTAATAGTAGTCAGTTGAATAGAAGTATCTCATGTATGAGTCGATTTTCGATATTTTATTTTCAATATCAGCTTCACAAAATACATTGCATTACCTACGCTTAATATTAAAAAATGTCAAGTAGGTAATAACTAATAAGTAATAACTTTCACCCTTGAAATCCCTATAGTAAAACTCAAATGATGCCACTGTTCATAATGAACATTCATTGAAAACAAAATAATAAAATCGTAAATAGGTATTAATGTATTATATAATAACAATTTAAATCAGTCAGACAGTCCATCAATAACACATTTGTGCCATTATAATACAAAAGTTAAAACATTTATAAATATTATATTCAATATGTAAAACTTTCATTGATCAAATCTGCAAACTTTACAACTATAATGCAATGCTACATGTCTACATCCATAAAAAAAAAACATTTAAAGCAGTATTTAAATAATTTAACAATTAAAACCAATTAATATTTTTATAAAATAAAGTAAAGTTTTATCAATTTTGCATATATAAATTAATAGACAATAAAATAAACACTTCTTACCCCATAGTTTTAAACAGTTTTTAGAATTTTAATAATTTGTGGAAAATGAGAAATAGTTAGATAAATTAACTACAACAATTAATCTTGATGCACTTTGCCACCAGTTGTATCTAATGGCTCAAAATCTTCAGATAATTTTTTGGCTAAAAAGTAAATTTCAGCTAATGCTATAATTAGAGCACATATGATTCCCAACAATAACTTAAAACCTAAATCAAAGGTTGTACTTAGCATTAACTCAATACCCAAAAATCCGAATAAAAAACCAGCAGCTGTTGAAATCACAAATTGAAGGACTGCTATCAACTGTCTATTGATTTGTTTAACTGAAACATACAAATGATTAATTTTTCATCATAATATATTAGTCCTTTAGGTCAGTGTTTCAAAAATACAGATTGCACAATACATGATGTTGATCATTCTCTTTTATGCAACCTATTTTATTTTATCATAATAGGAAAATTAAGGAAACTTATTTAGTTAACATTTTGTAGAATGATTATTATTTTAACTAATCTAAATAACTGATAAACTACTAAAGATAATCTAACTATACTAAAACAATATTGCTTTAACATTTTTAATGTATTAGATAACTTTGTTACAATATTATAGGTCAAGAATCCGCAAAATCTAGCGGAATACAAAGGCAATTTGACAGTCGATATATGTTACTTACTACAAATTTAATTTAATTTTTGTATTAAAAATAATATGATATTATTTACCTAACTCAGATTAAATCAATATCATAATTCAAAATAACGTGCTGGCAGATAAACCCACTTATGACTGTCATAACATCACAGAGTCTAATAAAAATAGGAATTCAAATAGATAACTAATGATCGATACACTAGAATCTATCAAAGTTTAGGGACAAAACATAAAATGAAATTATATTTCAAAAAGCTGTCTAAGAATGTGAAATGCAATTTCTCGCATTTATACTTATATTTAAATAAAGTATAATTATATAACTATGGCCTAAAAAATAACAGCATTTTTTTCCCTTAGTCCTGTTTTTTATCTGGACTTCAATATAAATACTATCACTCTTTTTATAGGTGACAAAAAATAAATATTTGGGTATTCATTCAATGTGTGATCTACTGGGGAGAAATCAAGTTTTTCATAGGTTTTTGAGGTATTGCAAGTTCAATAATTTTCAGAAGGAACACAAAGGGGAAGATCTAAATTCATTACATATTAAATATTAAATATAGTCTCACTTTGATAAGAAATTGTATCTTCGGGTAGTCTAACTCTCCGAAAATCTACATTTTTTGTCATAGCATCATATTCTTTATTCTTTAGACGTTGCTCCAATTTTCGCATCTTTTCTTTGTACTCTGGACTCGACTCGACAATTGGTGGGCTAGGTAAAACTATACTGTCTCCAGTGATTAATGTGTGTAGAGGGGGACCATCAATTTTTTTCAAATTTTCACTAAACCACTTGAATGCTTCTATGTCTAACATTTTAACAGAAAAACATTCACTGACATGTGCAGGAATGTCAACTTTGGACTTTTGAATTTTCTTAAACAGATCCAAAAACTGGGGATCAGTTTTTATTTTTATTTTTTGATCCATATTTTTTTACTGATTGTCAGCAATAAGTTTATTTATGTCTTCTTCAAAATGTATTTTAATTGCTTCTACCTTATCTTCAATATCTTTATCTATACTTTCATATCTAGTTTTCAAATCAGACTTAAATGTTTCCAATTCTCTTTGACGTCTCTCATGGAATTCTTCTTTAGTTTTCAAGTCTTCTTCCTAAAAATATTCATACCAAACATATTATTGAGTATGTTTCTATGCATACAATTATTGTCAAGCTAACTTACTGAAATTATGTTATTTTCTTGATCCAAAATTGCTTGACTCAAATTCAAAGCTTCACTAATAGCAGAATTCAATAAAAATAAATTTTCACCACTTGATTGCAAAAATCTTTCAATTTTCTTTTCTTTTAAATCACTAACGAGTTCACTGATTTTTTTTAGATTTTCTTCGTCAGCTCTATATGACTTTTTCTGGAATTAATTTTAATTAAAAATTATTTATTCATATCAATATATGATCTACACATTAATTAGTCTTACATCAAATTCTGATAAAAAATACTTAATTTCTCCTTGCAAAAATGGACGGTGACTAAACAGCCTATCCCAAATATCGCTCAAATCTAAAAATAAAAATAACATGATAAAATCTGACACTCTTGTGGGCAATGCAAAAGGGTTGCTCAAACAAAATCTCCATGTGATGCAATTTAGAATCTAACAGGAAACAGGCACTCCACATTAGTTTTTAAAAACTTATGAAGTCATTTATAGGTACAGTAAAACTTCCATGTAATGGTCACCGAAGGGACCAGAAATAATGACCGCTATTAAGAGGTGGCCGTCCTACAGAGGTAACCGTTATTAGAAGTGCAATATTTCCAGACGACCGCTATATAGAGTGCATAAAAAAAAAACCAAATACATACACAATAATTTGCAAAACCATTCATACATAACATCATTGATATCATTTGTTATTTATTTAGTTTTACGATGTTTTATAGTTTTCACTTTATCATCACAGTTGGATTTCCATAGTTTTAAAACCGTATCTTTATTCTTTATCAAATCGGTGGATTGAGTTCTCCTTATTCCAAATTTATCTGCAAGAGCGTGCCGCTCATATTTTCTTTTTCATAAAACAGCCTCATTTTTTTCTGCTACAGAGTACAGTTAGGTGTTAATGTTTGGGGTAATCGGTAAAAAATACCAAGGAAAAAAATAACACGGGAAAAAAGAACAACAGAAAAAAAGATAACGGAAAAAAAGAACAATTTACAATTTTTAAAAATTTAAGAAAGTACGAAACTAAATAGTTCAGTGTTTTACTAAATTTAATAGATTTATAAGTTGAGTTATAAGTAGTTAAAGTTTAGATGAACTGAGTGGAGTTGTATGGGGTTAACTCGCAAAATGTTTGTCCACTACTCCGCTTGTCTAAACTTTAAATACTTATAACTCATAAACTGCTCGTCCTAAATTCAATTTTTATATATCAAAATACTTTAAGGATAAAAATATTTAAAAATATAATTTTTATATCAAAACGTTGTTTTTGAACAACTTGAACTATTTAAAAAATTATTTTCAAAAACATTAATACTTTTTGAGATAATGAGTGTTTTAAGCTTAATGAATCACCCTATAGAGTAATATAACATATATACAGTAAAACCTCCTTATAATGGAATCGCTCAGTACCAACTGATATTTCCGTTGTAAAGGAGTATTCTTTTTGGGAGACTAAAATGTACGGGATATAGATTATTTATACTGTTATGTATCACTTCATAAATTACAATTACAATATACTATTTTATACCTACTTCAAAATTACAAACAATATATTTTTTTTTCAATTTAAACATTTGTAGTGTACCTGTCTATTAAATTTAGTAGAACATTGAACTACTTAGTTTCGTACTTTCTCAACATTTTTAAAATTTTTTTCCGGGATTCATTGTTTGGACGTCATCATAACCACACAATTCAAAACGTTTTCAACTGACACTGACAACTAATGAAACATAATAAAATACACAGACCCGGCTTGTCTATAACGTTATTGTAAAAGTTCGATAAGATAGCTATCACTAAAGCTAACATAAATAATTTGGGCAAACCATAAACACGTACAAATTTTTTATTATTTTATCTTATAATTTGACCGTTATTTAGAGTGCCCGCTATATAGAGGTATTAATTTATTTTTCCCATAACACTTGATGGGACTAAAAAAAATTACTGTTACATAGAGGTGACTGTTAACGGAAGTTTTAATGTATTTGGTTAACTAAGTTTGAATAGAATTGGTCAATTGTAAGAGTTATAAATTATAACACTAATAAATACATCATTATTTTAGTCCCTACGACAAGTGTGACACAAAATTATGTAAAATATAAGCATATTTTTATAAATTTCATACAGTTTTTACATGTTTGGTTAAAATTTATAAAATTATAATTTTGTATTTTAAATCTATCTTTACTTTACATTTTATAATTTTTGGAAGTAACCTAGTTTTTTAATGTATTAATTTACAAAACTTAATTAACAAACTATATCAAATCTGAATTATTATAGTAGGGGGCTCAGAGATTTTTATAAAATACCCAAGGTTGAGAAACAATATTCAGGGAAATGGTCAACAAAGTAACAGGTGGCAAAACGTCATTTTAAATAAATAATTTTTTTTGAAGACAAGTTAGAATGTTAGAAGTCTGAAGTAAATATAAAATGATTTTATTAATTTGCACTGTATGCTCCTCGGATACAAATACCAAGTTCAAAATACAATTAATAAAATACTATTAAACATAAAACCTATAAAAATATACAAATTATTTAGGTACCAACCTATGCTCTCATATTATACTTGCACAAAAACAATGTTAAAGTAAATATGAATGGATTACAAACTAATAACCTAATAAATGAAATGCGTAAAAATTTGAATAAGTCGAGCGTACAAAAAGAACGCCCATATTTCTTACCTTTAAAAATGTCAGTCATTTAGTATGAAACATAGACATAGATAAAGAAAATAAATAATCAATGATGACAGTTTCTAAAAACTACAACTAAAAATGTAATTTATATTTTACAAGATAAGAACTTTCATTATTACAAAATTGTGAACCACTCAACCACGATTATATATTTATATCCTAACTCTTAAGTCGAGTATGGATGTCCGAAGTATTCAAATTCAGTTATTAATTATTGGCAGAAGACGTACTAAAAGATATAAATTGTATAATATTGAACATTTTTGTTGTGTATATTTCATAAGATAACATATTGATAACTTACAATATGGCCAACTTGAGAACTGTCGGTCTGTAGAATAGATATTTTCAGAATATTAGATAATACCGTCCTAGTCAAGGTGGATTGATCAATCCACCTTGGTCCTAGTGACCCTTTATATTACAAATCGTGATCATTAGCTATAATATAATATTTGGTCTATGGTATAAATATTAAATAGTAAAGTGTAAACAGAACACAGAACCATTTGACCATGAACTATGGTGGACAGTACTATAATATTATATTCACCACAAATATAATATAATACGGTGTGTATTGTTTATAACTAGGGCTGGGATTTGTATGTAAATACATATTTTTAGTGAAACACGATAAATTAATTATTGCAAATGATAAATTCGTTTCACGTGATTTGCAATAAAATAAGACATATTTTATTTTACATATTTTTACATATTTCGTCATAAATACATATTTTTACATACTTAGTAAAATTTTCGTTTTTATTTACATACTTCGTAAATTTTGACAATTTCAGTGGTTTAGTAATATTCAAAAATAACTACCCAAACATCCCGCTTCCTCCAGAGCCAATTATAACAAGGTGGGGGACATGGTTACAAGCGTTAAACTATTATTCCAAATTGTATGATGAAATTAAAAATATAGTATCTATGTTGGATTCTGAACATGCAGCATCAATTTCCAAGGGTAAAGAAATTTTTGAGAGACCTAATATAAAGTCTGATCAATCATATATTGTGTCTAATTTTAGTTTTTTTGGGTGAATCAATTTCAAAATTAGAAAACACCAAGATTCCGTTGAGTGAAAGCATACAAATTATTGATTTATCAATTTCAAAATTTAATGAGTCAGAGGGCCCGACAGCAGAATTATTAAAGAATAAAATAAACGTCGTTTTAAACAAAAATTCGGGACTGAAGACCATTAAATGTATAAGAAACATTCTTTGTGGTATTGCGGTTGAAGACACGACGGAGCTCAATCTTTCACCTAGTGAAATAACAGCCATGAAGTATGCTTCGATAACATCTTGTGATGTGGAACGCTCCTTTAGTAGGTATAGGTCAGTGTTAAGACCAAATCGCCGTACATTTAATTTTGAAAATTTAAAACAATATATGGTTTGTCATTGTTTCCCTTAGAATTGAATAAACATCAATTTATTGTATTTCAATTATGATCAAAAATTATTTAGAATTATATTTTTATTTAAAACTTTAACATAGGTATTTTTTTAATTTTTCTTAGTACATAATTTTTATTTTATACCACATATTTTTTATTTTATACTACATATTTTGGCAATTTTAATTACATATTTATGTACATATTTTTGGTTTTTTATTACATATAAATCCCAGCCCTATTTATAACTATACAGTATTCGTCCTCTCTAACTATACGTAGTACATTGAGATTGAGTGTGTGATATTCACAGAATATGACCACAGATTATATTATAAAATATAATATAATATAGCACATCGTGTTAATAATAATCAAGTTTTAGTAAGTAACCATTAAACCAGCTCTAGTAGAAAAATTACACTTGAAATGACATAGGTACAGTGTCGGCCTGGCCAGGGCCGCGGGGCCCTGGAAGTAGG